AGTGGTGCTTGCATTTCGACAGCGCGTTCTGATGATGATTCGCCGCAAAATGCTTTCCCTGGCGACACTCGACTCACTTTTTGCGGCTTCCGAGGATCTGACGGCCCTGCTCAACTGGGAGGCTTGGGTGAATGCCAAGTTTGCCATGGGTTTGACAATCTTCATCTGGATGTCGCCACTCATCGTCATCCTGGCGTCGTACACGCTGACGGTTATGCCCCAGAGGGTGGAGGAGACAACAAAGTGCCCCGAGATCCGGACACTCAACTTTTCGCACGAGCAGGTCCCCAACTGGTGGAGTCCGATCCGAGAAAAAGGGCTGATCGAGTTGTCTGTTTCTTTGTGGAATACGACCACTCCAGGAGCCAACGTCCAGGAGGACCCCAACGGGTATGACTATTGGACAAAGGCTAGCCAGCAGTTCAGGTCAATCGCTCTCAAGACTGCGTATACCCAGCAAGCAGTCATGCGGAAGGATGCGCCTACACAAATTTGCGGTCGAGGGTGGAATTGCAGTTATGTCATCGAGTTTGAGGGCCCCGGATACAGATGCCAATCGTTGGCCTCAGGGGTGGGCGAGACGGTCAAGAAACTGGGGGATGCGGAATGCCCTTTTGATACGGACGACCTTTTACCACGAGGAAACTTTTCTTACATTGCCAACACCTACCAGGGAGACTACGAGAACCCACAGATTGACGGAGGCCCGGGCGGAAGACCCAAGCCGAGCATGAAACGTCCATACCCCAAAAATCTGGGTGCTCTTCGGACAGAACCCGTTCTGTGGTTTGGCTTCGCCGATGTTGAGGATAGATCCAAGGTGCAGCCCGCGAATAGGTCCGTCAAAGGCTGGGATTCTGCATACACACCCACCATTTTCGGATGCGAGCACTATGAGACCAAGTACACGGTGCAGGTCAACCATACCGGCGGCACCCAAACGCACAAGGTCAAGAAGCGCGAGTTTCTCCGAAAGGTGGTCGATACAACTTATGTGCCCGAAAAGAAGGATCCGGACAAGAGGCTGAAGGATCGGATTGTGGCTGTCCCCGAGGAAAACTACATCATGCCGTCAAACGTCAGCATATATCGAGAAAAGATGGCATACCACGCGGTGGGTAGCCTGCTGCGCGAGCTCGTCAACGGGACCATCAAGATGCCGTTCTACATCGTGGAGACCATGGCGATCGAGACGCGGCTAATCGAAAGACTCAATTATCTACCCATCGCGAATTTCCAAGAGGAGCTGCAGGACTTTTACGAGGAGATTCTCATGTCCTTCTTTTCGGACCCGCAGTTCATTGTCGTGTCGTGGGCAAGCGATCCTTCGAAATGGTCAGGATCGGCTGAGGGAGGCAACAGAACCGACTATGACTGCATGCGATTCCAGCTCAGGAACTGCTATTTCTACAATTATGCACAGCTCTGGGCTGTCTACGCAATATCCATGGGCATCACTGTCGTGGCCGTCGCGTCGGGCGTCGCGGCGATGGAGGAGGATTCATTGATGCGCAGTCTAAGCTTTTCGGCCATTCTCGCTGCGACCAGAGGAAGCAGTCTCGATAAGCTGCGATGGGAAAAGGGAGCAGAGATTAAGAGCAGCAAGATTGGGTTTGGCCTCGTATCGGGTCAAACAGGAGAGAGGGCGTATTCCTTTGGGGTGGAAGGAGATGTGAGTCAGGAGAAGACGACAGCGAGGTCAACATCGCGGTCGCCGGCAATATCGGTCATGGACTGGGGAGATAGGGCAGCTCGGAGGGTGAGCTACGCCATGTTGAATAGGAGGGATCGAGAAGGATCTTGAGATGAATTAGCCTCCGTTTGATGGATGGGGAACTAGCTGTAAAATGATGGTAGAGATGAGGAGATTTATTCGGCCGCATAGCGTGCGTGCATTATCTAATCTAATCAATGAAGACACGATTGCATACTTGACATTTCATTAATCATCAGTCTTGTTCCTGTTGAGGGGAAACCGTTTACCATCAAGGTTTGTTGAAGGAGACATCTGTTGCGCGCAAGCAAGCAAGATAGCGGGTTATCGCCAAGCTGCCAGGTGGAGCTACAGGCCTCGAGTTGACTAAGGTTCCCCGAGAGCTGCCTGCCTGCTTGCGTGGCTTCAATTGTCACCGCCGAAGCGACCTCGAACAAACCGCGACCGCTTCGCAAACTTGTATCACCTGGAAAACAAGAAAAGGCGACAATGGTCGAGCTACACGCAGCGGCCGACCTCTCGGAGGCTGCGTTGGGCGGCCCAATTCGCATCGAGGGCTCCCACTTTGTCGACGCCCACGGTCGCATCCTCTCGCTGCGCGGCCTCAACGTGTCTGGAGCCAGCAAATTGCCCACCGAGCCCAATGGCCTGTCTCACCTCACCGAGCGCTTCTACGAGCATCGCACCGTCACCTTTGTCGGCAGGCCGTTTCCCCTGGAGGAGGCCCCGCTGCACTTTCGCCGTCTGCGCGAATGGGGGTGTCCGCTTGTGCGACTGCTCGTCACCTGGGAGTCGCTCGGACACGCCGGACCTGATCCAGAGATTGACCTTGACCTCGAGTACATTGGTTATTTGCGACAGCTTATCGAGTTGATGCCGCAGTATGGCATCAAGTGTTTTGTTTGCGCCCACCAGGATGTTTGGAGCCGATTCAGCGGAGGCAGTGGTGCGCCAGGCTGGACCTTTGAGACTGTCGGGCTCGACGTTGAGGCATTCACCGACACGGGTATTGCCTACGTCCACGGCCAGGATGAAAAGAAGAGGGCCAGCGAACCTCCCAATCCCAAAGAGCCAGGCGGTCCTTTCTTATGGCCCTCGGGTTACCAGAAGCTCGCTGCCTCCACCATGGCCACCCTCTTCTGGGCGGGTGATGCGCTGGCCCCGAACCTCAAGTGCCGACGCACCGTCGCTGGAGGGGACGATCCAAGCAATCAAGTCCCGGTCCAGACCTTCCTGCAGGACGCATTCATTGAGGCCTTTGGACGACTCGCAGATGAGGTGGGCGACCTGGAGGCTTGCATTGGCTTTGAGCCTATGAACGAGCCTCACCGCGGCCTCATTAACCTGCACCACTTTCACTTTTGGAACTACGACACTGACCTGCACATTGGACACTGCCCGTCGCTTGCCCAATCGCTCGCTCTCGGAAGCGGATATGCCCAAAAGGTCGATTACTACGTCAAATCCTGGCCTTGGCCGACCCGCGTCTCCCACAAATCTCTCGTCGATCCCAAGGGTCGCTCAGCGTGGCTCTCTCTCGACAATGGAGAGCCTATCGGTCATGGACGTGGATTGGGACAGTGTGTATGGCGCGCACATGGAGTATGGGAATGGGATGAGAAAAAGAACAAGCCCAAGGTGCTCGACGACGATTACTTTGAAGTTGATCATCGCCCTGGTCGCGAGGGCACTCCGATTGAGTGGTATCGCGACTGCTATGGTCCTTTCCTCGAGAAGTTTTCCAAGCGAATGTCGCGCAAGAATGTTGGTCAATTCAGCTTCGTCGAGCCAATCCCCAATGAGTTTATGCCTCCGTGGCCTACGCAAGAGATCGCGCCCAATTGGCGCAAGCAGAAATACGCCGAGGACACTGTCCTAACGACACCGCGCCCGGCCAACTTCGTATATGCACCTCACTTTTACGACCTCAACGTCCTGTTCAACAAGTATCACTCATGGATGAGCGTCAACGTCCAGGGCCTGTCGAGGGGCATGTTTGTCCTCAAGGCCATGTACTTTGGCCCCAAGGGCCTGCGCAAGAACTACAAGAAGCAGATTGGTAACGTCGTCAAGTACGGCCGCGACTCGCTTGGCAAGGTGCCAATGCTGATCGGTGAGATTGGTATCTCCTATGACATCAACGGGGGAGAGGCATTCCGAACCGGGTGCTACGATAAGCAGCGGGACTTGATGAACGGTCTCATCTCTGCCATGGAGGATAATGGCATTGGATACACACTATGGAACTACAACCCCCACAACCGTGTCGAGTACGGAGATGGATGGAACAAGGAAGATTTCTCTGTCATGAACAGCGATGACATTGTTGAGGGAGGTCCTATCCGTTCCGACTACCGCAACTATCTCCACGAGGACGACGAACTCTTTGCTGGAGGTCGAGTCCTCGATGTCATTATCCGACCTTATGCAGTAAAGACTGCAGGAACCCCAGTGTATTCCGATTGGGAGCACCATTCCCTTCGGTTCGAGTACAAATGGACAAGCAAAGGCAACGAGAAGCAGTCGCCGGGCGAAAAGTCCCGTCTTACCGAAATCTTCATCCCGAGGTATCACTACGCCACGCACGAGCTGCGTATTCACGCCACCAACGCCGAATGGACACTAGACCGTGAGCGCCAGACTCTCTATGTGCGTCACCCGTCGCACAGCGGCGATGACCAGCAACATGCCGTCGTTGTGGAAATCGAGAACCCGCTCAAGCATAGACTGGCGAGGATCCAGAGACGACGGGAGGTGTTCCCTCCTTCGTTCCCTCTTAGCTTAGTTCCTCCTACCGCCGAGACTTGGTTTGAGGACTTGGACTGGAGCCGGTTCATGATGTTCGTCCTGGCTATCCTTGGCTTGGTTTCTGCTTACGTGGCCATGATTGTTCAAGGAGAGAGAAAGTAAGGAGGTTAGTTGCGGGATTTGTATTTGAGCTGCGCTCAGAGGAATTGTGCTTAGTTGTTGCAATTTTGCGTACTAGAAGTTTTTCTCTAGAGGTAGGCAGGCTTGGTCTTTTGAGCTTCTAGATCTAGACACGTCGATAGATGATTAGAACCAACACGGGGGAGGCTTCAGTTTACTGTTGGCCAAAAAGTGTAATCCTAGACGGTTAGATAGGTAGTTAGTGAGCGAATTGAAGTATTGAAGTAAGAGGTGTTGGTTGATCACCTGCTTATTCGTAACGACCCGACCTAGCTAGACTTTGAAATGACCGAAGTAGATACTGATTCAAACCCCAACATGAGAAATTCTTTGTGCTTCCAACCCCCATACGCATCTACTAAGCTAGGCCAACCAGCTGCAAGGACAGATCCCATAGCTTCTTTTCATTTTCCTCGTCAAAAGCCCAAGGAGCGTAGCCTGGCTTCTCTGCGATAGCATCAAGCTTGGCAGGCTCAGAGGGAGCTAGATTTTCCAGATACAACCCGCCTCTACCTTCGAGGTCCTTCGCGGTAGCTGCTTTTTCCATGCTCAAGAATGTGGCGGCGGCCTTGCGTACGCTATCAAGGGAGTTGAGATCCAGTTCAAGCAGCGTGACCTGACCAGTTTCGATGAGATCACGCAGAGCTTCCTGGATCTTGCTAGGGCTGCGAACGGGGAGATATATCCTAGCTCCGGTAGTGGCGATGGTACGAGCAGTCTCGACTCCAATGCCCGCCGAGGTGCCCGTGATCATGACGATCTTATCAGTCCATTTACCACGCAGGTCCTCCTGATCTATGATGTCCTGGGTAATTGGCCAGGCATCTCCAGCACCCTTAGGGTTAGCGTAGGCGTCTCTGTACTTGGCGTAGTCTGCATGTTGATTAAGAAGGGGGGAGTATAGTTGAGGAGGTGCTGGGCCTGATGTTAGTAAAGGACTCGCAGCAGATTATGTATACGCATCGATATCACAGGATCTTTAAACCAAGAACCCTTTCTATTTTCATCTAGCTAGCTGAAGGCTATGTAACCTGCTTAAACCGCCTCTCTATCACCGTTCTTAAGTCCCTCCGGAACTATCACTCCCTCCACAATCTGCCCAGCATGTAGGCCGACGGATCCCGTGAAGTCCATGTCCGCCAAGTACACACAGCTCGCGCCCCGTAAAAGTCGGATTATACAAGGACTTGTTCCAAATGGAGTGCTGATGGAATGCTGAGACTAGAGTTGAGCATCACCAAGTTTCACGTTGTAAACGGTTTACCTTATGAGCCAACGGTGAACGAAATCTTGATAGGAGGTTCTTGACATGAGCATTGTATTCGCAGCTTGGTGAGTTTACTGGTATACAAGAACAGCCTCTTTGTGAGTTGTGGTCTACTGCATAGTTGGTTTACTACCCATGGCAAGACTCTAGGTTATAGGCAGATTATGAGGGCGAACCTGAGGAAACTCGATATTGGAAATTTATAATTGGCCCCAATAACTGACTCAAGTGCCATGTACTCGGACCCCCGGACTCCACGGGGCGCGCTGGACCCAGTTACGGACTATCTTCTGCGCAAGCCTCGTATAGTGCGGGGAAAAACTTCCTGAGTTGTGCCATGTCGCCGAAACTTTACCAAATTTGACCATCTGCGTAAGTTAATAACGCTAAATAGGAATGGTTTATGCTGTGGGTGATGCCGCGTGGAAGGTCTTCCCTGAGCATTCCCCAGCTATGAATCGGCCATCTAATGGGCTCATACTTATGCTAGATGATCCCAGAGCCCGCACGATTCAAGTCTACTTATAGGATATGTAGGGCCGCAATGGTGCCGAAACTCGAGTCTCTTTGACTCGGTGGTCTATGGCCAGCATTATAAGACCCCGTTTCCTACGCTTTGTTCACACTTTGCTACCCGCAACCATCCCGTTTCACCATCATCTCTTGCCCAAGAACGCCTCCATCATGGCTGTTGGTGCAGTCGCTGGCGGCATTGGTGGAGTTGGCAAGACAATGGTCAGCCAGCTCGAGTTCAGCAAGGACCATACCGTCTTCGTCCTGAGCCGAACAGTACGTAGGTCTCGATCCGCCTATGCACACATAACCCTTACTCTCTCCTAGGTTCCCGAGAACCAAGCTCCCGGTACTGCTCGGGTTATCAAGGTAGACTACAATGACACTACGTCACTGACTCGGTGTCTCGAGGAGAATAAGGTCGAAGCTGTCGTCTCCACCATCAACCTGCAGGACGAAGCTGCGAGCAACGCACAGCTGAGGCTCATTGAAGCCGCTGACGCGTCCAAGACAACAACAAAGCGGTTCATCCCCAGTGAGTTCGCCTTTGCCAACTCTCCAGAGTATGCACCATGCCAGCTACCTTATCCCAAACAGTCACTTACATGAAAGAATAGCGGTGTCGAGGATGAACCTAGTGTGAGATTTGCAATGGAGAGTGTTGATGCGCTTCGGAGGTCAAACCTTCAGTTCACACGATCCGCGAATGGGTTCTTTATGGACTATTGGGGCCTACCCCATATTCCAAGTAACCTATGGACTTATACTTGGGCCATAGATATTGCCAACAAACGAGCCGCCATTCCCGGAACAGGGGACGATTTGCTGAGCCTGACATACTCTGTGGATGTTGCCAAATTTGTCGTTCGGATGCTAGAGTCATCAGACAAATGGTCTGAGACCAGCATCCTCTCCGGGTTTGACCTAACTTTCCACCAGCTCCTAGCTATCGCTGAGAGGATCCAAGGTACTACACCGTGAAGCCCAAGAGTTTATATACTAACAATAGAAATACGACAGGTTGTAAATTCGATGTCAAATACGATAGCTTAGAGGCTCTTGAGAAGAACGAAGCGACACTTCTTCAGGTTGGTTATGGAGGTGGCGGTTGGGCCTCTGAAGATGAGGCAAAGCAGATGGCATCTTTGTTCGGCAAGATGACCATCTCAGGGACCTTCCGCCTGCCGGACGACAACCGCATTAATGACAAGTTTTCTGGCTGGGTTACACCCAATGACGGCTGAGGAACTCTTGACTACGGCTTGGGCTGGAAATTAGGGGCTCTATGGAATGGCAGCTCGAATCAAATCAGTGAAAGCTTGGCCCCAGAAACAAAAATAGATCTTAGTACGCTCAGGGTTCATCCCCGAGCTCAATGGTATTCTTTTATTCTACCTCGGTAGTTCATTAAATCAAGTCATAACCGCTAAAAATGGACAAATGTTTTTACTCGGCATCCAGGGGGCACCTGGGAGCGTTGTTGTTCACCTGGATGCCTCCTCGCTTCTTCTCCTTGCTGTCGTGGAATGGCAGAGCCCAGCCACCCTCGGTCTCGGGTGTCGATAGCCAGAGACGGAGGAGGTGTCTTCGGGGGGCGGGAGGAGCAAAGTCTAGAGCATGTTAGAGTACGAATTTGAAAATTTATGAATGGTCAACTTACCCCTGTATGCGGTTCTGGCGTGAAGCAGGTGAGTGTTGCTCACGAACTGAATGTCACCAACCTCGAGGACCATGTGCAGAGCTAGCCTCTGGCAGGTCTCCTCCAGGATAGTGATGGCACGCTTCTGCTCCTCGCTCAGAGCAGGGATGAGACCCTTGTCGGAGAAACGCGAGAGAGATCGCACAAAGTAAGGATCCCACTTGCAGTACACACGACCCTTGCCACCATTCTCAATGTAAAAAATGGGCTGGCGCAGCCACTCCTCCTGACCTTCAGAAGTCTCACCCTTGCGGTCAAAGTACCACACAGGCTTGGTGAGGAGCTCAGCTACGTCGGGGTGCTCCCGCTGAAGAGTGTTCCACACGTTGTGGATGCTGACAATGTCGCTCTCGCCGCCCTCCTGGGCACGGTGCACGCAGAGAAGACCAACAATATCGGAGTCGTCTGCGTGGAAGAACTGACGGGCTGCAGTTCGGTAGATGCGCACCTTGTCGATCTGGGTAGCATCATCGCCGACATCCTTGACGTGGCCGAGCACATGACCCAAGCCGTTCTGGGAGACAAAGTAGCCGATGTAGGTTCCAAGACCCATGTAGGCGACGGCGTTCTTGTGAGGCCCCCATACAGCAGCGGGGAAACGCTTGAACAGAATGAAGCCCTTTCCGTCGAGGAGGTCTTCCCGCAGTGTCTCGAGAACCTTGCCGAGCTTGGGGAGGGGAAAGTTGGACTGATGATGTTAGTGGCTGTCAGAGGAGAACACAACAGCAGAGCTGTCATACCTTGGAGATACCGGTGAGAGGAGTGCCACTGGCAATGAACCTATCGGCAGTATCGCTAAGCTCCTGGACCTCCTCATCGGTGAAGGGGTGCGTCCATCGCTCGGGATGGTTCTCGTAGTCCTCCTTCTTCCAGAGCGTGGGGCCAGAGACTTCCTTGGGGAACTCTGAGTAGGGCTTCAGGACATCGTAGAGAGGAGGATGCTGGCCCGAAGTCCGAATGCCGTCAGGAAAGATTGACCGCGGAGCATCGGCATTCTTAACCTGAGGAAGGGGAGCCTGAGAGGCGTCGTCGATAAGAGCACCGGGAGCCATTGCGAAGCTGAGACAAAGATGATGTAGATGAAGAGTTTATCTGCAAGTCAATTGAGTTTCCGGCAGTTGCACCTGCAAGATCCCTTTATACCTCCAGGTCGGGCATCCGTTGTCGGCCCCGCACCCCAAGTATTACGCCTTCGCCGGGGTGAGAGGTTGGTCGATCTACGGATTGCGTGCTCGGCGGTCGATATCACGGAGTGGCACTCAACCACCACCACTCGAAACCCCCGCGACCAATGAAACGGGCCAATTCGCCATGACGTTATCCGCGACGAGCACACTAGGTAATCTGACAACCGGAGCATAACGGCGCCAATTGCGCGTTCCTGGTGCGCTTGTGTGTCGCAGTCGAGTCTCGCAGCCGATTGATAAGCTCTAGGGGGCTTGCTCCATGTGGAATCTGCTCATCATGGCGTCATTTGCATGCTGGAGACTGCCGAGAAGTGTTTCGAGACCGCCGGGCCGTGAGTCTTGGATGAGGGTTGCGACCTCGGCTATGGCCATGTTACCCTGTAATTTGAGCCAAGATCGTCTCTGGGCATTCGACAAGAGTCTTGGTAGTGTCAATTGACTCTATGCAAGTCCACTATAGTCGATTTAGCCTATGATAGTCGGTGCCGCGCTCTTGGGACCGAATCTCGGGGGTTTTATGTAAAACCCCCGCTCCTTGATAATGACTCCAAAGCCGACTACTAGGACCGTTGCTAACCTAGACCAATGGATAGGTCAATGATGCAGAACGATCTAGTCTATCCCTAATTAATTTGTGACTTTTATAATACATGGGACATATTCTTGTCATTTGGCGAGATGGACTAAGCTAACAATTGCTCAAAGCGTAGCAGGGCACACTCCTCGCTTTCGCTTTCCAAGATGCGTGTCAGAATTTCCTGACTCAAGTAAAGCATTAAACCTCTAGAGACCACCAAACAGGACAAGCTCATCAAGTTAAATTTCTCTGATCCCGATGGTTCCGAGGTATTTTGAAGACTATATTTAATTCAAGAAAATGCCGTTTTGTTCGGCTTTCTAGCCTCCACCTTGTATCGCTTCTTGATTCCATCCAAGCCATCCCTACCCTCGCCCTTGAATTTCCAATTCATTTGTCTCAACCAGCATAAGAAGATGAAGGCATTTCAGTATGAAAACTCCCAGAAGGGGCTAGAACTTCGAGACATTCCCAAGTCTGAACCCGGAAACGGGCGAGTCCAGCTCCAAGTCAAGGCCGCAGGCATGTGCCACTCCGACTGCCACATCGTATCCGGCTCGAGCGACGCCTGGCTCACCAAGAAGCCAATTACTCTCGGGCATGAAGTCGCGGGTATCATCACCGAGATCGGGCCTGGAGTTACTGGCTTCAACTTGGGAGACAGAGTTGCAGTGTCTCAAGTGTGCCACCCAGTCGAAGAGCGCGACTGGTCGCTAGGCATTGGACTAGGCTTCGACGGTGGCTATGCCCAGTATGCTGTGGCTCCCGCACGCCGCCTCATGCACATTCCAGGAGGCGTTACCTTCGCCCAGGCTGCCGTGGCTACTGATGCGTTGTCCACTTCGTATCACGCTGTGGTAGCAGAGGCTGCAGCAAAGCCTGGCATGATTATTGGCGTGGTCGGCCTCGGTGGCTTGGGGATGTCGGGTCTTGCGTTCGGAGCTCTTCAAGGAGCCGCGATGTATGGCTTCGACATCGATAAGGATAAATTCGAAGAGGCGACACGTCTTGGTGCCAGCGGATGCTTCGAGAGCTTGGATCTGGCTAGCGACGTGGCTTTTGATGCCATCGTTGACTTTGCCGGGACTGGAAACACAACTCAAAATGCCCTGAAGGCAGTCAAGGAAGGAGGAAAAGTAGTGTTGGTTGGATTGGCCGCTAAGAAGGTAGAGGTGCCAACCGAGCTGCTGGTGTTGCGTACGGTGACACTCGTCGGTTCCCTGGGAGCGAGTGTTGACGACTTGGCTCAAGTGTTGAAGCTCTTGAAAGAGGGACTGATAGATCCGATGCTGGTGGAGGTGCCGTTCTCTGAAATACCAGCCAGTATTGATGCTTTAGCTAAAGGGGGGGTCAAGGGAAGACGCTGGGTAGATCCAAGCAAAGTGGTCGAATAGTTATAATAAGAGAGTCTCCAGTTTGCTCTTGGACGATCTAGTCTCACTGGTTCTCATATTTGCACATATAGGCCTAACGGTGAGTTCCTCGTCAACAGTTGAAGGATATGGAACACAATGAACCACTATGCGAATGGCTAAGGCAGAAGATACGTTTTAGTAAGTACAGAAGAAATTTGGTCATTCACGCTGCTAAGGGCAAAGGCACCAATGCATAGAGTCCATTTGTTAGGTCCTAGCACAAGGAAACTGTAACATTCCTCTATGTCACATTACAAGCGTAGAGTGAATCATTGTCCTTCAGTGCCAACCAAAACCATTCACCACCTACAGAAACTTGACAAGCAGAGCTGATCAGATACAACAAACCCTACAAAGAATCCATGGTAGTAGACGTAAGAACTTTATACTGCATGCCTGAGGATGGTTTCCGCAGCCTTTTCGCTCAACATGTAAGTGGCAAGAATGGGAAAGGCTCCAGGCGATCTGGGGAATGCACTGGCATCGACAACACGCAGACCAGAAACACCACGGACACGGAACTTGGAGTCCAAAACAGCATTTTTATTGCTGTCCGAACCGATAGAGCATGTGGCCGTGACATGGTGACCGAAAGTATTCTGCCGGATAAAATCTTCATCATTGGTAGCATCGGAGCAACCGCCATTAGCCAAGACTACGCCGGAACAAGGAGGCCAGGTGATGTTGATGGGAGCAACGGGCGCCGTAACGCGGCCGAAGGCACGGCGGCCCCAAGCGACAAACTCCTTCATTGCCTCCAGGTCCTCTCCTGTGCTGTGGCTGGAGAAGTGGCGGAAATTGATTTCTGGCAAGGCTGTAGGATCGCTGGACAAGAGCTTGAGATAGCCCGCGCGGTTCTTGCCATGCATGTGGACGCCGTGAATGCCCCAGGTGTTGTGAGGGTCCAGCCACGACTGGCCTGGAGTAGCAGGCCACATACCGCGGAAGCCAAAGGGGCCCGAGAAGATGGCGACGTCGCGCTCCCCTGTTGTGGTGTAGTTTGTCTTGATGAAGGTAAGGTCCGAGTTGAGGCCAGGTTCAGTGTATGGACCGGTTCCCTGGAGGAAGAGGGCGTAGCAAGGATCGTTAGGAGCTCCCCATGTGCAACGAGACCGAGGGAATCCAGGAGCGGCATCAAAGTTAATGTTTTGTGCTGCTTCCCCAATGACTGCTATCTCGTTGTGATCCTGCATATTGCGGCCAACGCCAGGGAGATCAACCACAACCGGGATTTTCAGTGCCTTGAGGTCCGCCGCAGGTCCGACACCGCTAAGCAATAGGAGCTGAGGCGTGCTGAAAGAACCGCCGCTAAGGATTACTTCACGTGTTGCGTAGACTTGACGGATGGTTGCATTATTGGACGAGCTGTAGCGGAGATCGCCTTGGTAAATGCTCTTGCCTTCCATGTACTCGATACCGATAGCCCGAGGTATCGATCTCGTTTTGGGCTTGTTGAAAAGAACCTTGGTAGCGTACGAGTTGAGTCTCAGGTCGAGGTGGTACTTTCTCTTGCCTTTCTTGTCGACAGTTCGGATAGTGTCTAGCACCCGCTCCCTTGCACTGTAACGGCCCCAGGTAGAATTGGCGTGGAAGGACAAGCCGGAAAGGCCGGTCTTATGATCTATATCGGGGCTCAGCTGGTTGGGATCAGTTCCCAGAAGCTTTGGCAGGTCTTTGGGGTTCTGACCCGCCTCGACAGCCATAGCCCCGAAGATCTCAGTTGCCTGGGGCGAAGCGAGAAAGATGCTTCCATTGCCCATGTTTGTTTCGAGATAGCCATCGAAGCCGTGTCCTGGTGTTCCCCGGGGAAGGTAGAGGTTACGCTCTAACTTGACAAACAAGCTCCTCATGTGATGAGGGCTGTGTGGCATTAGCGGCAACATAGGTAAAAGACGTAGTTCACACTACTTACTTCCAGGAAGTGTCACCAGTGAGCTTCTCGATGTATTTCCAGTCGCTGTCGCTTGGGAGCACAGTCAGACCGGAGTTGACAATCGACGAGCCCCCGAGAGTAGCGCCACGGGGATACTGGATACCGACCATCTCGGCACCTGGGGGAGTAGTAGACCCAGGACCAACCCACAAGTCCCCGTTGGGAAGTCTCCAGACAAGATGCTGGTACTTCTTGGTGAGCTCGTCGTCGTCGTAATGACGGACCCAGAATGACCAGCTGAGGTTTTCGGCTATCCCAATGGCCCGACCCCATGCGAGGACCTGAGAGTTGGGGTCAGCGCTCTCGTCATCACCGGCTTCAAGAAGTAGGGTCTTGAAACCGGCTCGGGCAAGGTTGCTGGCGAGGGGGCCGCCCCCGGGACCACTACCAACCACGATATAGTCGTAAGTGTCAGCGGCGGATGGGGGTGTCTTCATAGCCAACACAGTACTTGCGGCAGCCATGATGCTCCCAAGGCGGAAGGCAACCATCTTGGCAGATGAGAAGCGCATGGTGAATTGAAACAGTACCGGATTTTGAGTGTAAGAAGATTGTCAAAGATGGGAGTGATGGTGAATGAATCGCAGTTCTCAGGGCCAGAGGGAGCTCAGGAGGAGGACTATTTAAGCTGAGGATGTATATATGACTTGAAACTTTATTATATGGTCACATTGCCTTGTACATTTTTCTTTCTCATCAAAAGGACAGCTGCTTCGGCGTTCCGAGTCGCCGTCGCGTTGTGTTTTCACGGAACCACGGAGCTTACAACATCCTCTCTCCTAGCCACGGCCACGGGAAAGTAGCGAACTCCGAGAGACGACGTCTACCGTATCTTTCGGGCAGACACACGTAAACTCCGAGAAATAACAGGGACAGTACCTAATGCCTCTATTAACCAATAGTGACGTTGCAGTGTTGGAAGTGCCGATGCCTCGGTTGTGAGTCTTTGATCATTGCATCGATGCCGCACGCAGTCCCTGCCGTCCCCGATACGGCGATACCCGATGTAGCTAGCCATCCGGTTCTCTGGGTGGGTGGAGAAGGCTTGAGCTTGAGGCTGGTCGTACAGTGACAGTTCCCCCGCGGTCCTCCAGTGAGTTTCCGCTTTCTACCAAACTAAGGGGAAAAGGAAAGCCTTCCGTAGTTTCATGGGATCTCTTGGAAGATAGTAACTCGGGTTTTGTTGCAGAACAAGCTACAAGGCCGACCTACAAAACGGCCATGATCGCCATTTACTTGACTGCTCTCGCCAGCTACTCTCACATCCCATAAATCGCAGAGCCAAACCATCAAATCATCTTGCCATCTTCCCGATTACAGTCATGTCTTCTCCCTACAAACACGTCCTTCTCGTCGGCGCTACATCCGGAATCGGTGCAGCACTGGCTGACAAGTTCATCCTCCAGGGTGCCAAAGTCATCGCTGTCGGCCGCCGTCAGGATCGACTTGACGCTTTCGTCCAGAAGCACGGCCCTGACAAGGCAAGTGGTGTCAAGTACGATGTTACAGACAGGGCTGGCCTCGATGCCTTTGTAGAGAAGTAAGCAGGCTCCCTTCCCAAAGTCCAGAATCTATTGAAGCGTTTCCCTAACCCAACGCCTCTTGAAAGGATTGTCAGCACATACCCCGACCTTGATTGCGTCTTTCTGAACTCGGGCATTCAAAGCCAGATCCGTCTATCGAGGCCGGAGGAAGTTGACCTCGATGCCTTCCACGACGAGATGAGCACCAACTTCAATAGGCTCGTAGATCTCTCGGTCAAGTTCCTCGCGCACCTTAAGAAGAAGTCGGCCCCGAACGCGCTTATTATCACGGGAACTCTGCTTGCCCAGATCCCAGCTGCGACAATGCCGGCATACTCTGCGTCAAAGGCGGCATTGACAGCTTATGTTACCTGCCTACGCCGCCAGAACGCGGGATCCAACACCAAGATTATTGAACTGTGGCCCCCCGTCGTCCAGAGTAAGTTGAAGCTTCCAGACTTGTGTGATATGGTGGATTGACATGTCCCCCAGCCGAGCTTCATGACTACATGGGCGCCGAAAAAGGTCGGGCCATGGGAATACCCGTGGCGGTGTTCCTTGAAAAGACGTGGCCGCAGATTGTCTCAGGAATTGATCATATCATTGTTGGTGCCATTGGATCCGAAGAATCATTCCTGGGTGCCATCCAGCAGCGCCGGGAACAGTTTGAGGTCTTGTCTGGCCATCTACTCACTCACTTTGAGCTGTAATAAAGGTGTTACTATAGTCTGTAGACATACAGTAGTAACTACGACTCCATCATAGTTCGACTCTATTTTGTCGTCTTAAGCGGTAGTGACCTGGCTGCCAACCAATTTCGAAAGCTTGTGGATGGGAGAATAGGCAAATGGTGCGTTGTGCAATGATGTGTTCCCCCGGAGTAGAAAGGTGGGGAAACGACGATTGACCTGATCTTTGCACTAAGCTAATCGGGCTAGCCATCCGGAGTTGTCACCTTATTTCCAGTCTCCAGGAGGCAATGGCAAATAGGGGGCCCTTGCTGATTTAAAGTCAGCCGAGTTTCTTCTCCCTAGGTAGCATTCCAGCCGACAAACCACTTTACGCTCACGGAATAGGCCGCTCTAAACTCCGGATGACTTTCCTTTTCTGTCAACTTTCTAGAGTCACGGTCTCTCCTCCAATTCAACTCATCACTTAACTACCTATCAGCTTCTTCATTTCACCTTGGCCACCTCCATCTTTCGTCTGATGCTCTTTTATTCACTAGGAGCAAACCACGCCAAGATCAAAGAACCCGAGCTAGACACCACCCATGGTCAACAAAGGTCGGCCTTCGAAGGACTGTCTTCCATGCAGGAAGCGGAAGCTTCGGGTATGACATGGCCTACCCTTGCCTCCCACATCCGAACTTGTCCAAAATTCGCTGATGGAGAAATTACAGTGCGACTTGAGGCTAGAAAGCTGCGGCCAGTGCCAGAGAGCCAAAATCGTGTGTCAAGGATACCGGAATCCCCAAGACTTGGCCTTCCGCGACGAGACGGATGCAGCCAAGCGCAAGGTCTTGGCCCGTTCGGGATATTATCTTGCTGAAGTATCTGGTTTTCCCTTGCCAATATGGGACCTGAACTTGGACATGGAGACACGCTGTCGAGAAATCTTCTTCTCTCAGTATGTCACAGGACTTTCACAGAGCTGTGCCCCTCTCATCCCCCTCTATAACCAGGCTCCAGCCATCGGGCACCTCGCGTGCAGTGTCGGCGCAGCCAGCCTGGCCTTTACCGCTGTTCAATTCGAGAGTCAAGAAGTCATGAGCTTGGCAAACAAGAGGTACTTGGCAGCCATCCAGAACCTGGGTCAAGCTTTGCGAGACCCTAAGGCACTGAAGAGTGACGAGACTCTGCAAGCCATCTTGCTCCTTGACTTGTACGAAAAGTTCTCTAGCCGCGAAGCTCACATACCGCCTTCGTGGATGAGCCATATCCAAGGAGCAATGTCGCTAGTCGCAGCGCGTGGATCCTTGAACTTCTCCAGCCTAATCGCTAGTCAACTTGCCAGAAATGTGGTGATAACACTAATGATAAGTTGCGGAGCTGCAAAGGTCTTCATTCCAGAGTCCTTGCTATCGTTACGCAGAGAGCTTGACATGTTCAATGCGGATAGTAAATGGGACTTTATGGAGATAGTATGTGAAATCGTGGACTTGAGGGCCGATATCCATCACAAGCGTGGCAGCGGGACTGGGGTTTATAAGAAGGCAAAGGAGATTGATCGAAATCTAGCAAGCTTGGAGGATAAACTACCCGAGTTCTGGAAGCCCGTACCTGTCCTGGCGACCGTCAACCATGGGCCAAGGCTTCTCGACGGACAGTACGACGTCTACCCGAACCAATATGCAACACAGATTTGGAACGCTTTGAGGGCAATGCGTCTGGAGATGATGAAAATCATCAGAGATAATAATCCCCGTTCCGAAGCTGGTGCTTCCGAAACCATCAACCGCATTTCTCGGCGAATCTGCCACACGGTGCCCCAGTTCATCCTTCCAGGGGCCAGACCAGATAACGCAGAGCCTTTCTCACCGATGCAGAAGCTACAGTGCAGGACTCTGCTGGCACCGCTCTACCTCGCTGCCCAGCTTTCAACAGACAGCCACATGAAAGAATGGATCTGCAATTCAATAGACTACATGGCTGAGAAGGGGAACATACGGGTAGCGAAAGATGTTACTGACATGCTCAAGACGAATTCAGGAGAGGACTACTGGACTGTATGGACGATGACAGGGTGTTATGCAATGGCTGCATAAGGGAAAATTAACGCGATTTGATCATTCTTACTCCTCCTCAACCATCCATTCAATGGCCTTGATCAAGTTCTCATCACTTCGGTGTGAAGTAGCCAGCGGCAACATCATAAAACCATGGGGCAAGCCAGGATAAACATTGACTCTAACAGGAACACTAGGAGAAACGAGTTAGCACAGCTGCCGGAAAGGAAAATATTCGAGAGGGTTGCGCACCCAGCTTGCTGCAATTTCTCAGCGTAGGCAAATCCATCATCCCGCAGGGGGTCAGCTCCAGCGATTTGTATATACGTGCGAGGCAGCCCAGACAGATCTGTTGCCAAAAGAGGAGAGACTCGGGTGTCTTCGGGTGGTGCGTTGTAGTACCCAAGGAACTGTGTGACAGATGCAGATGGAAGAATTGGGGCGTCTGCATTCTCCTCATAGCTGGAGAAGTCGAGCTCCGCAGGATGTGCTTTGGGATGCACGACCAAAGGGATCCTCAAGATCTGGCCGCAGAACGAGACTTGTTTTGTGTGTCGGGCACGTTGAGCAAGGACAGCTGTCTGGAGGGTGCTTAGCAGTCATGGCCAGTAGAGAAGCATATGATGGGAAGCTTACAATGTTCCCTCCAGCGCTGAGGCCACCAAGAATAACTTTTGCTGGATTACCTCCTAAGGATCCAACGTTGTCAAAAACCTTGCCCTTAGTACTTTTCTTCATCTTTGACCTGTCTGTGGTAGCAAGAAACTCACCCAAAGCACTCCAGCCCAGACATCTTCGAGGCCGATCGGAAAGGGATTTTCAGGTGCCCTAAGAAGTTAGCAAAGTATCACAGCAGATATATCTATCAATGGAATAGAAAAGACTTGTTTTGCTTACTTTCGATAATCCAAACTTACAACGACTACTCCACTGGACTTGCACATGGTACGACAGACAGCGTCTTCAGTGTCTAGGTCGCCAACAGTCCAACCCCCGCCATGTACACTACGCGGCATCTTTTAGCAAAAGGCAGTCCATGCAAGGAGCGCGTTGATGTCTTACTAGATAACGACGGCTCGGGCTGTGTGCTGAACGTTTGGTGTGTAGATTCGAGCCTGGTTCATCCATCCTTGATAACCCGGCACAGGAATCTGTTTGATGGAGAATCCGACAGGAGGGCTTTCATCTCTCGGAAACTTCATCTGACGAAGCTCCACGGGGTCACCTATTAGTGCAGGTACTTGGACATACTTTGCGAACTACAGTGTTCCGTGAGCCTTTGTTCAAGCACGGGTGGAGTTGACGAGGACAACACAAACCTCAGTCCATTCCGGGCTGATTTCGGTAAGGCCTGGTTTGCGAATTGAGGAAGTCATTGCATGTGGTTTTTATCTCAAATGTTTTTTTGACGGCAGGGTGCGAATGAGGGTAGCTTTCTGGTGTGTGGCTACTTATAGAAGGACCTGGTCCGGCGAGAGCACAACGCTGCATGAGACACCGGGTCACTGACGCCACAACTCACTCGGTCCGCTTCCGAATAAAATGCCAACAAAAGAGTCAGTTCGGGTGAATTCATATTCAGCATCGACATCGTTTTATCTGAATCAGGTTCTGGTCGAGGTGGTTGTTCGGACAAGCTCGAGTCAGAAATTCATGTGTCAACTTGCAGATGGCTTCGCTGATCCGGGGCTGAGGCGTAAACGCCACACATAAACGCGGACCGAACGGAAAGAATACCATCTTGGTGTCAATCATTTATGGAATTTTCTTTTAGATCATAAACCCTGCGCGGCATCGAGGTCTCTCGGAGTGTATAGGCCTTTGCAACTACTCAAGCACCTTCTACTCAGCACACCAATCGCAAGTACTACCAAAACAATATGGCTACTCTCAACGGATCAGATAGCAATGCGTCGCCATTTCTCATTCCAGGTCTCGAGTTCTTCTCAGACCCCAAGGCCGCGACACGACCGGGAAACCTATATACCGAGAGGTTGCATGCAGACTTTCACAACAATCCCAAGTCTGGCTACCACATTCCCTTTGTACCTATAGGGGAGCCTCAGAATCGACGACTCAAGGTCGTGACCGTCGGTGCCGGACTATGCGGCATCATGCTGGCCTACAACATCGAGAAGTTTACCCCCAACGTAGAGCACGTCATTTATGAGAAGAACCCGGAGGTTGGAGGAACTTGGGTGAGAATTTCACGGCTGTGGCATGGGAAAAGATCTTAATACTGACTGATGTCTTGTGTGCAGTATCAGAATCGATATCCTATGGCTGGCTGTGACTCTCCAACGTGCACATATCAGTTCAATTTTGCCATTTCCCCTGGTAAGCAAAGCGACGTCCAACAACCTAAGCGACCTGCAAAACGATGCTGACACCGCACATTCAGACTGGGAAGACTTTTACTCCTCCTCCGAGTACCTACGGCGATACATTAACAATGTCGTCGACAAGCTTGATCTGAGAAAATACATCACCTTTAATTCAAGGGTCATCGAGGCTCGTTTCGACGAAGAGAGCGGCACATGGCAGCTAAAGATTGAACAGACGCGAGTCGATGGCACCAAGAGGATCATAAATGATGATTGTGATCTACTTCTTGGTGCCGTTGGCATTCTCGATCGATGGGAGCTACCCAAGATCCCTGGCTTGGATACCTTCAAGGGTCGAGTTATTCACTCAGCTGACAGAGCCCAGTAAGAGTCGCTTCCTGGTTAAAGCTTGACAGAAGAACCTAAACTAAATAAATGCCAGGTGGGAGGACTACACCAAGGATAAGTGGGCAAAGGAGAACATCCTAGTCATCGGCTCTGGGGCCAGCAGCGTCCAAGTCGTTCCAGGCATGCAGCCACATGCCAAGAAACTGGACGTCTTTGTCCGCACTCCTCCTTGGTTCTTCGCCCAGCCTGACGAAATCAAGGGTGAGACGAGACCACAAGGCTACAAGTGTGAGTAACTCGACATTGCTGCTTTCTGACAACTGCTGACGCCTCAACAAGACACTGAGGCGGAGAGAGATGTATTCCGGAAGGATCACAAGGCGATGGTGAAGCATTCCAAGGCCAATGAGAACACGCTGATGATGGTATGGACATATGACTGCCTATTCCAGAAAGAGAAACTGAGCTGACACAATCAGCTGCATCATCTTATGGTCAAGCACAACCCCCTCCATCATCAAGCTCGAGAGGTAGGCCTAGGACCCAAACATTCACCGGTATGTCTAACGAGACTTTTCAGCAAATCATAAAGCGAACACGGGAGTGGATCAAAGACGACAGAATTTTTGAAAACATCATTCCCAGCTTCAGTGTTGGATGTCGTCGAATTGCCCCGGGAGATCCCTACATGCTGGCGTGAGTAAAGGTCGCCCGAGCCAAACCCTTCTATTCATTGACGTGGCCGATGCAGTATTCAGAAGCCCAACGTTGACATGCACTTTTGCGGTGTGGCAAAGGTCGTCGAGGATGGAGTCATTGGTGATGACGGTGTCAAGACTGTTTGCGACACTATTGTCTGCGCAACTGGGTTTGGTAGGGGTTGCACCTCATCTACGCAGCTTGATTTACTAACCTTGTCGGTATAGACGTATCATACCGACCTCCGTTCCCACTCATCGGATTGGGTGGCATTGATCTACGCAAGGAGTGGGAAGAGATTCCTGCAAGCTACCTTGGCGTAAGTCTGTCCTCCAAGTGATAGGACATTGCTAATCAAGAACCCGTTTTCCAGGTAATGGCACCAGGAATTCCGAATTACTTGAGTAAGTGGACTGTTCTAGATGAGCTAAGCATCATCTTGTTGATCATGAGAAACAGTGTACCTTGGTCCAAACTCTCCGGTTGAAAGTGGAAGCATCACGGGTGAACTGGAAGCTCTCGTGTCCTATACCCTCAAGGTTATCACCAAGATGCAGATTGACAACATCAAATATTTTGTGCCCAAGCAAGATGTCACTGATGAGTTCAACGAGCATACCCAGAGCTGGTTCAAAGGCACTGTTTGGGAGGAAGACTGCAACGCCTGGTGTAAGTACTGAAGGGAAAAGCCGTCACATACACGGCTAACAAGAGACAGACAAGAACAGAAAGACCGGACGCGTTGATGCTATCTGGCCTGGAAGCGCCCTTCATTACCGGGTCGCTTTGGAGCAACCCCGTTGGGAAGACATGGAGATCAAATACCACGGTCCGGTAGGTAGATCTTGTCTTTTTTTGAGGACTGAGCTAACAAGTGCCGGTTAGAACCGATTCCAATACATGGGATACGGCTACTCAGCCGTCGATCTAAGCACCGATCCTGACGCAGACCGTTCACCCTACATTAACAAAGACGCTCTTGATCCTCGGTTTTATGAATAAGTTCTCGAGAGATACCTCAGAGAGGACTCATGTTGCCTTTCTCCACTCTGGGTGAGCAGGCAATGATGGAAGAATGGGCAGCAGGATGCAAGATTGCTTCTGGAGACTGGCTTAGTCTTTGACTGGGATTATTTTCAACGTCGTTTGTTATGTATCAGGCTATATAGGCAACATATATGGTCAGTTTCGGCCTACTCGAAGTTCCATCACTCGAACCTATCATGTATTGTCCCTTGAGAAAGTGACCAAGGAAACATGCATGTCCTATCAGTAGAGAGCATCAGTGGCAACCCCGCTCTCTACTTCCGAGGCACTTTTCTCTCGTCACTCGTCGATCCAGATGAGGAGGAAGCTTAGACCCGGAATGGTAAAGACAAATCCGGGGATCCGGACCGGATCGTCGGCTTCCCCGCGTTTCGGCATCGTAAATCCCCGTCTTTCCGGGGCTACCGACCGCATATATTTCGACAGATACTTCTCTACTGCGTTGATCATTCGTTTGACGTTCCCTTCTTCCTTCAACCCGTAAAGTCAAAGACCGTGACCGCAAGGATGGGATCAGCCAAGAAGAACAAGGCCTCGACAAGCGACATGTCTGAAGATGCCGTCAAGGACCGCCGTCTCAAGAAGCGAGAGCTCGACCGCAAGGCGCAGCGCATGGCCCGTGAACGAACCAAGAATCGAATCACGCATCTCGAAGCCGTCGTAGCACACCTAAAGCAGGGCGACACGGACTCTCGTATCTTGTCGCTGATGAATCATTTGTCGCAAGTGACGAGCGAGAGGGACAAACTTCTGAGCGCCATGGAGTCTCTATCCTTCGTCATACGGAGCCACATCCAAGATGCTACGGGAGGAGCGGACCGAGACGTTTCCTCTTCAGCGGTCGAGGACATTCCAGCGTTGCCGGCGCAGAACCATGATGCTGCGGAAACAGTGTCGTTCCCGGATACTCAAGCACCGTCAATCCCACCTGCCGATACCTTTATGGACTTGCTCGATCCGCAGTTATGGCTGGACAGCGAACTTGGTCTCCCCGCTTCTGGCACGGGACTTGGCAATGGCGACATCTCTGACGACTTTTCGGGCGATCCATATTCTTCCCAAGAGATGGTCCTTGTGCCAACACTGCTCGATACCCTTCCTTGGGACATGTCACCTCGAGAAGACGTAATTGTTCCACCGTCCACTCCGGAATGTTCCTGCGCCACTTCTGAAGACACCAACCTTTGGCGAGCGGCCAATGAGGCTCTGACACGGTCATGTTGGGACACTCGACAGGAACCGACGATGGAAAATTCAAATGGCGAGGATGTAGTCATCCGCGCCATAACAGAAGGATGGGAGAGCGTTGAGAGTAGAGGCATCATGATAGAGTCTTGGTACGGGCTCCGAAAGGTGGATGATATGTTCTGGCACAAATGCCAACCAACTGAAAGGCTGGCAATCTTGATCCTGATTTCTTGGATGATTGAGCACTCAAGGGGCCACAGTTCAAAGAGACAGGCTTCCTTGCCAAGATGGTTACGGGCAAGGTAGGTCGCACAACCCCCCTGAAAGAAACCACCAAAAATGGCCAACTAATCCCACTTCAAGGCCATCTCAAACTCTGCCACATTCACGCGCCATCGACTTCTTCGCCTGGTAAGAGTAACTTCCCAAGACAGACTAACCCTCCCATACTCACTTGTTATGCAGGCCAGGACTACGGGAACGATTCGTCTTCTTCCAACATCAATACTGCGCGAATCTCTTCTGGTACCTGTTCCTATCCAACTTCAAAATCCTCTGGCCTTTTGACTTTCGCGATACCTACATGCAAAACTCCGAAACTGGCCAGTTCCACCTATCACCTCATTTCAAACAGTGCATGGGCGATCTTAGCTCCTGGACGATTGGGCAGGGTTTCTTTGAACAGTTCCCCGAGTTGTATGCCGATATTCAGATACATGCAGCTTCATAAACTCTAGCATATATTCAAACACACGAGGCCTTGCTTGTGAAATAATCATGTGCTTATGCATATTCGTATGACTCTGGGAAAGGGTATTGTTCCTGTCACTAACCTCACATGAGCCCCCACAAAGTTCCAATCACAGTCCAGACAACACAGCCCCAGATTCCAGATCCCAGGACATTCCCCATCAGAGAAGAAGCCGAGTTATCTTTATCGTCGTCCTTATTCTTCTCAGCCTTCTCCTGAACTTCTTCCCATGTGGGCTGCGGCTTTCCCTTCAATTCGTCCGAGTTACTTTGAACAACATTCTCCTTACCAACAATCAGCTGGTCAGGGCCGATTGCACGATGGTCCTCGTATTCATATCCGCAAGCCTCAATTGTAGTCCCGTTCAGCTTCTCATCGTCGTCGGAGCAGTCTCCTAGCAAACCCTCCCAGCATCGCATGATGGGCGTAAAGGCCAAGTACCCTGCCTCACCTGCCGGGATGCCTGGCTTTGTGACCCTGTATGGTGTCAAGACGGTCTCGTTCAGGTTGATCTTGGCTCTCGTATCCGACGCTGCGGCTTCCTTCACTGCGTCTAGAACCGGTTGGATGTCCGAGACGGAGACGTTGACGGTCGAGTTGAGTGTGAGGCCCATGGTGTATCGGTCAACCTCACAGACTTCATTATTTCCCTCTTTGCGAGCTAGCTCCGTGGTACAGTTGATGTATTCCGATGTGCGAAATGTCCTCGGTGAGGGCATGGTGTACCCTTTGTTCCCGTACTGTCCTTGGGGTTCGAAGGATGTGCAGGAGCGCTTGGAGAGGCACAAGGCCCCGGTAGGAAAAAGAGAGAGGAGAGCAACCCCGATGATGGACTTCATTGTGTAGGTTTTAATCCGTGACGGTTCAATTAGTAGGACTAGAGAGATGAGGGAGCTACAGTAGAATATGTCAAGTATATATACATACACAGAGTGGCGTCATGTTATAGACTTATACGAGCTCTGCATTCTCGGCTCCACACTCATCACCATGCGTGGACAACATCTCTCGAGTAATGGCTTGATATTGTTCAAAATAATATCTCTGAAGGATGCTACCAGCGAATGAAATTGAATTGCTTAGCCACTCAGCAGCCACCTCCATAAGAGTAGGATCGACGGAGGAAGCAAATGACTGGGTTATTCATTGGCTGCGACTTGTATCGCCACACGTCACTGGACTACAAAACTTGATTCCCCACGCCAGCTGAAAGATCTCCATGTTGTTGGTCGACTGTCAGGCATGTTATTGACATCATAGGATAATCCTGACACAATGCTAGGGCTGAATTTATGAGTATGCCTAGCCTCGGCGATTCCTCTTTATTGATACTGGATCATGCACTTTTTCGTCATCTTCAGGTGGCAGTCAATCTCTCCTCTTCAATCCCACATTCATATACATCGCATGGCTATTTCATCCTGTATATCCCATAGCCTCCCTCATTTACCTCCATCTTCCCCTGCATTCTGGTCGCAAGCACATCTAGCTTCTCGACGGTCTGAACCCCGGCAATCCTAAGCTCCTCCTCTTTCCATCCCCGCAGAGGATAGAACAGATACGGCAGAACAGACGCCTTCAGCAGTGGCACCCCTTTCACCAGCAAAATGTTCCAAACTAACAAGATAACCATCAAAAACGTTGCTGCCGCTGGGAGGATCAGCCACACCCAACGTACCACTATAACAGGCTCCCTGATGTATGCAGTTCCTTTCACCATCTCGGCGTCCTTGTTGTCTCCCGGGCTGCTACTCCGGAGCTGATTTGTGAGTGTTGACGCGATGTCACTGGTCAATTTCTCCATGTCGGCCAGCTTAAGGATAAACCCTGCATTCAGTGGAGTCGTGAGATCGACCTGTGATCGAGGACTTCCATTCGCTTGCTCCGTCATGGTGACGGTCAAGAGGTGCTCCAAATAGTATGGAAGTCTTCCCTCAAGTGTAGAAGCTACCCAGAAGGTTTCGTCGCCGTCTGGTGTTCCCAAGATGACATAGTTTATGCGGACGTCTTCAGATAGCTTGGGTTGCTCGATGTACTTGAGCATCGTATCGGTTGATTTCTCAGACTTGGAATCGATCGCTTCGTTTGATGACTTGACATCCTTGAAAACTCGTTTACACCATTTGAAATCTGCAACAAAGACTTCTGCGTCTGGTGGTCTCGACTTTCCCTTTCCTGTACTGATCCATGACCCGTTCTCGTGCCGAATGACGAGAAGTTGGCCGAGCCATCCATCCATCGACATTGACTTAAATTCGGTGTGCAAGATCTGTGTGTCTTCATGGTTCTTGTATGCGTCGTTGTTGAGGTATCGCAACGATGGTTTCTCGTCTTTTTCCTTTTCGAGTTCACTCTGTTTGAGTAGTGGAATAGTGTAATTGCACTGCTGGAAGTAAGAGTTGGTTTCCGATTCCTCACATTCCCTCGTGGCTTTGTCGGTCACGTCGTGGAGGGTACTGCAAACCCCGAGGGTCGAGAACTCGGGCCATTCGCAACGAGTTGCTGGCGGTGGACATTTAAAGTTTGGCTGGAAAGGTTCCCCGGCAAGGGCTGTAAGTATAGATATCTGTATTGCCGGGAGGTCCCCGTTGAGGTTCCAAATCTGCGCTATGTGTCGCTGTCAGCATGGTCTTTTGTCAAGGCGTAAGGAGGAACAACTTACAGCTCGCGCCCTCTCGCTGCAGGAAGCTCTTTGAAGAGTAATTTTGGGCCACGCCCATCTCTGCTGTCACATTGTCCAACCTTCTCTCCCGGATGGGAAAGTCTAGAATCTGTTGCGCACTTGGGTCTATTCCCAGGGATAGAATAGTTATGAGCGCAAGAGCACAACCTAGCTTTGACTGTAGTGGAAGCGTCCAGAACATCATGAAGGAGCCCCAAGGTCCTCGGCTCGCATCGTCAAACGCCTGTAGATAAGATATCGGACTGGCTCGTGTATAGATGAGTCTCCATTTCAGCTGGCTCAAACAGCTTGCGATAGGCACCAGCAAGGCTGATTTACCCACGGTTGTCAGCACAGCGATGATGGAGTTGGGCTGTATGGCTAGGGGCCAATCATCTCGCGGTTTGCCGTTTGCCTCGACCAAGACTCCGACGATGAGGCCGAGACAGATGACGCTCACGGCAGCGGCTCCAATATCCCACCACCACCACCAGTCGAACGCCTTGATGACCTGACCTTCTTGCTCGGTCGGTGGTTCCAAAGGGTGATACTCGGTAGATGGTGCATCTTGGGAAACTCTCGAGGTATTGTCGACACGGGAGCGTACTGTGCTTGCGCGAGATACAGGTCGCAGAGGAAAGTCTTCGCCGTTGGCGGTTGATGGTCGCGAAACTAGGCTGATGCTAGAAGGATCAAGATCGATTGCGGAATCTGCAGATGGTGCGCCATTGTGCTGGCCATGTTGCAGGTATCGGGATTGGTATGACTGCGACATGTAGACGGCTTTGTGAATATGGTTTTTCGAGGCAGGGCCTCAAGACAAGGAGGGACCATGGGCTTTTGGAGATGACCTAGTTTTATGGCTAAGCATAAAATCAGGCTGTGAATGCACCGCATCCTTCATTCTTTTCTTAGTACCAAAAGGTTGCACTGCAGTCCTACTCAGCCCCCGACACTCTGGCTTAGCAAGGTGGGATCTGCAGATAACCGCATCCACGACGCTGCCAAGACTCGCCTCTTCTGTAGCCAATAACTCTGTTGGAGGAATCTCACTGCCGCCGAATGAGCTTCGACTTGGTCTCTCCAATGTCCTGCTTGGCTATTTCGGCCAGTCAAATGGCCTCTTTGCTCAGCCTGATTTGTGCTGCCTAGAGATCCTGCTCGCACTTGAAACTAAGCCACCCGCCCCCAACGGGTCACCTGAAATGGCCGGCGCGTATGCTCCGTATCTATGCCAAGACTAAACTGCCCACCTTGCAAGCCGATACCTGTCTGAAGTCTTCATAAGGCTGTTTCCTGTTTCTTATTACCTGAGGAAGCTCAAGATAGCCCATCCCCGTTAGTCGTTTCCTCACAACAAACCCCGTCAAGGGGGACAAATGACGGCCCACCAAGTGTCCTACAACATCTTGCACACACATCGGGCTTGATCTGAAACAATCTAGAATCTACCAGCATTGGCACAAATGGATCCCAAAACCGCCGAATCATTCCCGGCTCAGAAGCATCACCAGTTTGTCCTATCCTCGGGAGCCTTGGCACACAGATGGCAGTGTGGTTCCCCTCGGGCGATACTGATCCTATAACACTGATTTGGAGAATGTGCTGAGCGCTACGTCGTCTCCCATTCCCAGCTCATACCGAAGCTTAACGCGGCTAGATTCGAGGTCTGGGCACTGGACCTCTGGGCCATGGAACATCTCCAGGGGATGGCAGTATCGTCGACGTGGAAATGGCGGTAAAGGATCACCTCGAGATGCGAAGCCGGGCTGATTGACGAGGATTGCCTGTTTTTCTCTTCAGGCACTCTCTTGGGGGCCTTATTACCGCCGCGAGTGTGGCAGAAAACTCTTTACATCACATAAACGGAGTTATTCTCTCAAGCCCAGCTCTGACTGAAGGTCTGCCGTTGCCTGCAGAGTATCTGGTTCATCTTCTCGCCTACTTTATGCCCACCACGCAAATCCCCACACCAAAGGCTTCTGCCCATGATTTGTGCAGTGATCCTGAGCAAGCACGTCTAGCTGCCAAAGATGAATCCAAGTACAAAGGCCAAATCTCATTCTTAGTCGCATCCACCGCTCTGCGGGTGGCAAGGAGATTATGGGCAAGGTGTGGGCAATGGACTCAGCCAACGCTCGTCATCCACGGCACCAGTTATTCGCACGCCCAGTTTCGGCTAAGTGAATGCCTGGTACGGGATATTGCATCGACGGACAAGACTTTGCACCCTGTGGAAGGGGGATATCACGAACTTCTGAACGAAGAAAGGCCTGAAGAGATTATCAAGCTCTTGTTCGACTGGTTGGAGAGTCACATGTAAAACTCGACAGCCGCTAGGCACACGACAAAACGGGCATGGCTTTTCTAGAAAAGAAATTCCACATGCGTTCTGGCTAATCAAGGCATGAATCAAGCCTACAGCAAAGTTACCAAAATCTATCTCGTACAAGGCCGAAGAAGCGTAGCTCTAAGGTAGAATCATGACAGCTCAGAGGGGACAGTGGATGGACCCCAGCAAACACCTCTATAAAACTCATCCTTCTTGACCGATGGTCACTCGGAGTAATAAACCCATGCCTAAATTGAATCTTACCTGCAGTACACAACAGCTTCAGGCAATTTTCCCGCATTACCTTCCTCCGAGCTACTCACAAACGGACAAGTCATCTGACTCCCATTCGCCAACAACTATCAAGTCCGATATTCGAAACTTTAAACAAATAACAAGATGCAAGATCCTTGTCAAATCATCTAGTCTTAATGTCTATGGAACGGCCCAGACCGTTGTCTTATTCGACCACGCCGCCCGGGCCGCTATATTTGTTTCAAACAAAGGAGCCTTGCATTTCAGCTGTCAGAATCGAGGCACATCTCCGACGCTTGGTTCAACGCGACCTTCCCTCCTTGAAACAAAGGCCTAGACTTCCCCAGGATAATCTCTTTATGGATCGGCGCAAGGGTTATCCCGTCTTATTTGTAAATTAGAAAGGAGGGTCCTTGGCTGTGTCACTCTCGCGTTACTCTAATGCGAAAAAAGAGGCATTTTTTCGGATCGGTGAAGCACAGCGGCTAGAGAGTGATCAATGCGAGAAGGAGATTGGAGGATTTTTGTTTGATCGTCTGGATCAACCCTGCTCTGGAGTCGAGTTGCTGGAATATAAAATGCCTGGTCCTTGCTGTCAATCAAGCCAGATATTCAACAAGACATTCAGAGACATCCACTAGCATCAACTTCACCTCAACTAGTCACATCACTCACAATGAAGCTGTCTCTTTTCACCATCTCCGCCCTCGCCGCGTCTCTTGCGAGCGCCTACCCCATCACCGGCGACGACGTCAGATGCCGCAGCGGTCCTGGAACCAGCTATGCCATCAAAAAGACGTTCAAGAAGGGCACCAATGTCAAGATCACCTGCCAGACAACGGGAACCAACATCAAGGGCAACAACATCTGGGACAAGGTTTCCGAAGGATGCTATGTCTCGGACTACTATGTCAAGACTGGCTCTAGCGGCTTTGTCACCAAGAAGTGTCCCGGCAGCGGTGGTAGCTGTGGTGCACCCAAGTCTAATCAGGCCACTGTGAACTTGATTGCTAGCTTTGAAGGTTTCCGAGCCAACATATGTATGTGAAATCTTATCCTCGATGCTAGGCAACTGCTTACAGGCAACAGACAAGGATGCAGCTGGCTACCCTACCGTAGGCTACGGTCACCTCTGCTCAAACTCCAAGTGCACCGACGTCAAGTATTCCATTCCCCTCTCTCAAGCCAACGGCAAGAAGCTCCTTGCGAGTGACATGGCGGTAGGTCACATTCTACATAGCACACAGTCAAGAAAGACACTAACCAGGTATCTTTGCAGAAATTCGAAAAGTGCATCACAGCCATGGTCAAGAGCAACGTCAAGCTCAACAAGAACCAGTACGGCGCCCTGGTCAGCTGGTCCTTCAACAATGGATGCGGCGCTGCCAAGACATCCACCCTCATCAAGCGCCTCAACAAGGGCGAGGCTCCCAACACGGTGATTTCTCAGGAGCTTCCAAAGTGGGTTTATGCAGGAGGCAAGAAGCTCAATGGTCTTGTTCGTCGTCGCAAGGCAGAGGTTGCTCTGGCTAAGAAGGCGACGACTGAGAAGGCTCTGCCCAAGAGCTGTTAGGGGGGTGAAGGGACCAAGGCTGGAGTAGCAATGTCAGGCGGCTGAGTAGTAGCACAAATGAACAGAAATGACGATTCTTTCATGCGTTTTTACGGCGAGTTCTTCATAAACAGATTCCACAGAGGTCGAAAGAAGCTTGAACTTCAACGTTGCCCATCAGATGACGTATCTGCACCTCCAAGCTAACACCTGTACGACATCGGAGCTCGATTCAATAACGGCGCACGCCGGCAAAGGAATCGCCCGTGGAACAGAGAAATCTTCAACATTTCTCAGCTCCCGCCCGCACACAAACTCAAGAGCATCATTGGCTGGGCTCGGCCGAGATAGGCGATCGCCGCGACCCGCTCGAGATAATCTGAGATAACGGGCTCAGCTCCGTGTGGCTGATGACTCCGCCTCTGACATAAAAAGCGCCAACATCCCCCAACATTTTGAACTTGACTCCAAGAACAGCACTGAAACTTCAAATCACTTCAAAGACCACAATCAACACTCTCGCAATGGCTTCTCAAGTTGTCGTCACCCCCATCGCAGCTCCCGCCGGGTCAGCCATTGACTTTGGTGCGACTGTCTCAAATGTTGACGTAGAGAACATCACTGGTAAGACATGAAAAGACTCCAACTTTGTCATCAATTGAAACCACGCAAATAGTGGGAGAATACCCGTGAAATCGGTAACCTCCTATGGTAAGGCATCAACTCTCTGAACAAACAAGACAGGCACTAACATGGTGCAGATGCCGACTTTGACGTCATCCGTGACGCCCTGTTCACCCATCAGGTTCTCGTCTTCAAGAACCAGAGCCACCTCTCTCCCAAGGCTCAGTATGAGATCACTCAGAGATTCGATCCTGAAGCTACGGGTTCTTATGGTCACGGCAAGACTCTGGACGCCAAGCGATCCATTCTTCACCCAGATCTCAAGACTGTCCCGCATCAGCCTCAGGTCCAGGTCATTGGGAATGGCTTTGTCGAGGACTACGAGGGTCTGAAGAATATTCAGCTGCGACATCCCCATCACAAGACCTTTCACGCGACCGTCATCCCGCCTGAGAAGGACCTTGACTTTACCCGCTTCTACAGGTGGCACATTGACGCCGCCTTGTACGGACTCGCCCCTCCTGTGGTGACGTCTCTCCTGGCCGTCCGTGTTCCTGGTGGACGTAAGCAGACCCTGGTGTATGACGACGGCTCCGATGAGGAGCTGACTGTTCCTCTCGGTACCACTGCCTTTGTGTCGGGTTACGCCATGTACGACAGACTCTCGCCCGAAGATCAAGAGTTTGTCCGCACCACCAAGGTCGAGTACGCCCCTCATCCATACGTCTGGATGAGCAGTGCCAAGTCACGCTCCGACGGTCTGGGTATGGTCTCGGAAGGAAAGGAAGTCCCCATCGAGGATCTGCCACCTGTTGAAGAGGAAAAGATCCAGATCCTCCCCATGTGCTGGCGCAACCCCGTGACAGGGCAGCTCGCACTTCAGATCCACCCCTCAGCCGTCCGCAAGCTTCACCTCGCCGATGGCACAGTCATCGATGACCTCAGCGAGGTTCGCGAGCGTGTGCATCAGCTCCAGCGACCGGGCATCGCTCCCAAGCTGGTGTATCCTCATGACTGGGAGCAGGGAGACTTTGTGCTCTTCCACAACCGAGGATTGATTCACTCGGTTGTCGGAGCGTTTGCAGAGGATGAGGTTCGTCTGTTCCGGCAATGCAACATTGCAGGAAGTGAGCTTCCTCAAGGACCAGTGCCAGTTTCGGCTGCTGCGTGAAAGGGAGTTGTCGGGCCTCCTTTTGTGATGTCAGGATTCATGTTGCGATTTCCTTTAGGCAGATAGTTTTGATACCAACTAATTCAGTCGTTCCGTTCAAACTTGGCAAGTTCCTCTGATTATTGATTCCCGAACGCATCCTTGCATGAGCAGACCGAGCCCTACTGTTTGCTATCGGAGTCCTTAAACTACTCAAACCATCATTCAGCTTGAATTATATAGACCTGCCTTTGCATAGTTCTATTCGTAGAATTAGACTTCATAACTACAGTCAACTTCTGGCTCCATTGAGACCATGACAGAACTCGCCTCAACGTTTGAAGGGCAATTGTTTCGGGAAGCCAGCCTCTGAGTACCACACAACTCGTATCCGAACTATTTTCTCTCAGGTGGTTGGATCGTAACGGTCTACGCCGTGTTGTCAACTCAAAGATTTGGCGGGAGCCAGGTCTGAAGGGCACGAGTCTCTTCTTGCTGCTGCTATCCGAGAATCGACTCGCCTTCGGCCTTAGGACGAACGCCGATGCGTGAAGGTTCAATATCTTTACTGTATTCGGGCTCGTCGATCTCTGGGCTTGGATCAGCGTGGCCAACAGCCCGTCGGGGCTGGTGGATATCCGCGCCTCTGTCATCATCCGTTATCAACCACCAAATCCTCAAGCAATCAAACAAATGATTCTTCCAGCCATGGATGCCAGAACCATGTTACTTTCTTCCCGAATCAGCCGCAGGTAGGTAGTGAATTCGGTTCGACTTGGCTCTCGGCAATAGAATCGTACCCCTCGTCGAACCTCATCAGGCGGTATCGTAGCATCGTCGCCCAAGTCTTGGCTCGGTTCGTCATCACGAGATAGAGGTGTCGGGGCATCTACCTCAGGCGCAAACGCGGTCTATCAAGCATTTTGATGGCTTATCTTCTCCGTTTATCGAGCGAACGAGCGAGAAAGGGAGGGAGTGATGGTGCGTTCCGTGGTCGATGAGGGAGGCCGAGGACTTGTTTTAGGCTCGACGGCACGAGGCCGCGTCGCGTTGCAATGACGATACAATACGCGACACCTATCTTTGGTGAGGGAATGTGGAGATTGGTGATGCTGAGGACGGGAGACCGAGGTCAAAAGCGGGTAGGTAGAGGTCGATTCGTGACTCGGGACTCGTCGAAGGCGCAGAACGACCAACGCTGACGGGAGCGGCGCGGTTCTTCGAGTACAGTTGGTAAAAGAGAAAATTAATTAATGAAGATTTTCCGGCTGATGATTGATTCGGATTATCATTAGGCTCCAATATCCCCAGTGAAATGCGACTGACTGACGAAATTGACTGACAACTGGCGACAGCTGGCGAAGGCTGACGATGTTCGGCGAGACCCTCGTCACAAGCTGGGTGTGGGATGCCAGCAGTGAAGCCGACAATAGAGTCTGTGGAGAGGCCCGAGTTGAGGCTTATGCTTGGGTGTTTGTTGGTAGGTGCGAGGCGTGACTGATGCCGCTTTGAGGGAGAATGGGATCGCAAGCCCTCATCATGCCCCCATGATGGTGTTCTTGAGGGTAGTTTGGTGAGGAACAGAGTGCTTCAGCGGCAATTTCCACATTCGCCATGGTAAAACCTGCGTCTGTCCATTGAAGATCAGTAACCACGATGATGACCCAAGCGAGAAGATTGTCCTTTCAGCTAGAAGCCAGTGATTTAAGTACACGACAAGTCCGCAGCAGTTGGTCCTTTTGGTCTCCGCTTCATGTCACTCGGGTGAAAGCATCTCCATGGGAGCTTGGAGTATGGAGACGTATCATCAGTTCCATTGTGCTCATCTGGCTAGCCTCCACGACGATTACTTGACACCCAAGGACGTAGGAACTGCTCCCAACCCAAGATGTCCGATTGCTCTCCCACCGTCACGGCATCATCCAAACTCTCCCCTTCGTCTAGCCATGCCCGTCCAACCTTGTGCTGTTTCTGGTATCGCCTCCGATCTGATCCCCTGGATCATTGCTCCTTCCTCAAGTCCTCCCATCTTGATGCGATATCGCGTCCACCAATGCTTGGCTGGGGCCTCATACAGAATTGCCTTTACTGCGCCTTCTTCAGATCCTCCCATCTCAATTTCGATGACGTCTTCATTCTCGACTCAGGCTCTGTGCCTGCCTCTTCGTGTCTGTGTCCAGGCCGAAAGACCGGAAGGGCTTCCCTCGCGGAACCGCAAACTCCTGCAGATTGTCAGAGATCGAGGAGGTTGACGCATGGCCCTTGCCTCGCAAAGAACATGCTTACCTTCCCGAGAGATATCCCCGCCCTCGTTCTTCCTTTATTCTCATGCAAGTCTTGTGCGTACGTCTAGGAGTCAGGAGCCTGGTGTTCGACCAGCTTTCAGCGGAAAGGTTCTCATATTGAAGCCCTATTCGTTTTATTCTTCTCTCTTCTTCTTCATGGAATAAAGTGAAGGTCTCTCTTAGGATCTCGGCCGGCTTACAAGGTTCCAAAGTTCAAGGTGTCGGCGCAGATGCTGCGCTCTTGAACGCTCTTTCTTTTCCTGCGTACATAGCTCTTTCGCTCTGGCTTCACCTGTATGTCCTTCTTCTCAAAACTTGCTCTCTTTCCAAAGTCGTTATTGTACTTGCCGTTTTACTCTTCTCGAGTCTCGTTCAGGTGTCTCGAGAGTCAGGAGCGAGTGCTCGCCAAATGTCTATAAGAACTCTCTCCCCCGCCCTCTTCGTCTTGTTCTCTTCTCTTCTTTTCTTCTTCATGGATAAAGTGAAGATCTCTCTTCGGACGATCTTGTCGGCCTGCGAGGTTCTGACGTTCAAGATGTCGGCGCAGGTGCTCCGCTCTCTGGGGACCTTGCGCTAATCCCCCAGAGGCGCAGTAGAACAGGTGAGCCCGGCACAATTTTTGATTTTCTCTCACCGTGTCTCTGGTATTACACTACCTCCAGTTGATGCGCGTTCGATTATTTTTTTTTCATTGCATCTGCCGGCTTGCCGGTGGTGTGAAGAAGAAAGCCCTGTCCCCTCCCTCAACACCTCTGCTGGATGCTGCACTGACGCTGAACCATGTCTGGCGATGGATGACATGTGCTGTCGGACGGAGACTGCTTTATTGTGTGCTGGAGGCGGCACGGGGTGGGAAGGAAACGAAGGGATGAGGATGGGAGATTCCAAGCCAGGGAGGGGGGGAACTGTATTTATTCCTGGGGGAAAAAAGCTTTGTTGGCACTGGAAGCGCGTGGAATCTGGACAGTTGTTCTTTCGGTCACACTCTGGCTTTGGCTTTGCTTGTGACTCACCAATGTCGGGATACCTGTGTGAGTTTATTCAGTGTGCGCCACGTCTCCTCATCCATCGTCCCGCAGCCAGCCTTTTCTTCAAGCTCTGGATGCCTGAGTGGTTTGGTTTCATTGACCCGAGGGCAGCAATTTCGTTGGTCAAGAGTGAGGCTATTCACAGGACCTGCCTTGGTAGGTCAGTCGGATCTTTCCAGGTTTCGGTTGTGGCTCAAGTGGCCACGTGATAAATCACGTGGATCCCTCCAATGGACCTTTGCTCATTGAGATGCCAGCGCTGAGCCCGTATTGCACAGAACAACCATAACTAGATTATGTTGTTAGGTTGCATTGAGAAGGGATCTATCATTCTCTGAATGAGGTTTCGCTAACTTTGGAACACTCATCAGTTCTTTCACACTTAGTCTTACAGCACGACAAGAGTCCTCCTTTTACACACAGCAACAATCACGCTGATCCCATCCATCTCTTAATCTCAGAAACACCATCCCTGAACAGCAAATCCGCATACGCCTTGTGAAACGCAAACATCCATGACGGCCTCAGGGGCTTGTTCACAGACGGATTACAGGACATGGACTGACAGTGAACCTGTACCGTTTCCTCCCCCTCCTCGTTTCTTGACCTCACGACTGCGAACCTGTGAACGCCACCGAACCAAAACTTGTCGCTGCCAAAGCCAAAGTCGACGTAGCTCTCGGTGCGGTCCACCCCGTCCTTGACTTGTTCCTTGGCGAGGTGTGAATCCAGAGTCTGAAAAACACCGAACAAAACGGTGTTGATGGAGGGAAGCTTCGTATCAGAGAGGTCCTTTAATGACCAAATGTCGGTCCTCGCTACAGGTGCAGCTTCTAGGAAGAGTTAGCTCTGGTCAACTAACCAAGGAATAATACTCACTTGTGAAATGAACGAGGTTGCGACCGAGTGTCTGAAGCGTCCTCCTCTCAGGCCCTATAACAGCTCCTCCAAAGTATCCCTTGACAAACTTTGCCAGCAAAACCTCGTCAGAAACATCGTGGTGCTGAGAGGGGATGTCAAGGGCGATGAAGCGTGAGTCGGACACTCGCGCATGGTTTCCAGCATTGACAATTTCGCTGACCGACCTAGACTTCTCAAAGGACTCGGGTATCGTTTCGAAACGTGTGATTTGCCCTCGATCGACCAATCTCACTCGTCTTTGTACCATGAAGCCGTATGTTCCGCCCACCGTCACCGCAGCAACCAAGGACGTTGCCAGTATCTTTCCTGAAACGGTTCGCAATGCCATGTTGATGTTGATAGTTGAACAGAAAGTGATATTTACAACTATGAGATAGAAACAAGAGATTCGTCTATTTATTTAGAATCCTTTGAGTCATTGAAGGAGGATCTTTTGAGATGTCACGGCTCACCTGAGCATTGACATCCGGTTCTACCCGCAACGCCTAGACAACCTTGGGAATGGCCTCCACTTGAGCCCCAGAAATCTCGGGGGTAGAATTGCTCCGCGACAAAAGAGGCGCAAGCCACACGGCTTCTTTAATGATGCATTCTCCCGTTTGACACGTCACGTGTAACCTCTTGTCTTTTTCTCAGTCAACCGCTTTACTTCCAGCTACCTCATATATCTATCCCTACAGACCCGGTCAGGTGTCGTTGACATGCCAAGAGATCCTTCGCTTAACCAACCAACTCCGTCAGATCAAGGCGTGTATATCATCGGTGGCTCTTTACCCCCCTGATGCTTCCCCTGTGCAACTCGCTTATTGTGAACCACATACACCACCATCTGGATCGACGCAAACACTATACCCAGAGACACCATAATTATCATGGTACGAAGGCCGGTTTGGTAACTGTTTTAAAAAATCTTGTCAGCTTACCCCTAAAAGACAGAAGGTATCCTTACAATGGAGTGTCGCTCGCCTGGAAATACTGGGTGCCAACCATCAGCCCGCTAATTGCTGACATTACCCACATCCTGAGCATTCATCAGCTTTCAACTCCGTGTTCATCCGGCGGCAGGTACACCTACGCGATAGCAATACTTCTCTCGCCTGCCTCACGACAGTTCAACTGGACCCAAGAGTTGTGCACAGGGTGGTATCCAACGGCGAAGCTGTTGACGGCCGTCCAGAGCCCCCATCTAGACCACTTGCCAACGTGAGGATGAGCCTGTCGGGCTACGATCAGCGTGATGAGGTAGCAGATGTGAGCTGCGACGACGGCTCCACCGCGACGGTTCGTTTTGTCGCTTAGATAGGCAAAACCAAAGACAATTGGAAGAGCCAGTGAGGCGCCGACGGCAGCGAGGGCATTTGCGGCGATGCGGTCGAACCCAAGGGACCTGATGACTTGTTAGCTGTTATTCGACTCGTAACATGTATCATCAGAGGTTGTAACAGTTATTAAAGTGAAGCACCTACATGATGATCGACGGCGTGTAAGTGGTCAAGGGCGACCAGGTTGAGAAGACGGCAAAGGTTGACACATAGTGTGGCCAACGACGATAATGCGTCACCGTCTTCCAGACCAGCTTCCAGTCGATAGCCAGTCCCTGAACCCCCGGACGTTTACCTATCCTATCATCCCTCTCAAGTCTCCGCTGAAGTGTCTCTTGTTCCGCTTGAGTGAACCTAACGAGGCCAGGTCCAACCAATGGTCGAGGGACATCAGGACTCCCAGGTAGAAAGCCGAGCAAGATGAAAGAGACAACCACTGTAAAGAGACCTTCGACTGTTTTCTAGTTAGCATGGCCAGTATAGAGGAAGAATAAGGTGAACACACGTAAGAAGAGCCACTGCCATCCCCGGATGCCACGAGCATTGTCAAGTTTCAGAATACCAGAAGCCAAAATCGGACTAATGCCATTACCACCAAACATTCCAAAGAAGAGAATCGACACTCTCTTGGCGAGCTCACGCTTGGTGTACCAGGTCGACAAGGTATAAACAGCGCCGGGAATATACCCAGCCTCGGCCAGGCCTAGCATCAGACGCGCAACCAAGAATCCAGCCCTGTTCTTGACAAAGACCTGCATGGTGGCCACCAGACCAAAGATAAAGACTTGGGCTGAAATCCACTTGCGCGGGCCGAGCTTTTGGACTCGGAGTCAGAATAGAATTCTTATAATGTATGGGTGTTAGGGACTTACCCGTTGAAGTGCCATATTGCAAGGGATTTCCAAGATGACGATTCCCATAAACATGAGTTGATTTCCTAGGTTGATGGTGTCTTGTTTAACCTTGATATCCGCAGCAAAGCCTCCGGTGAGGGCACTGGCGAGGTTCATGCGATCCAGTTGAAAGACTAGCAGGCCTAGAACGAGGAGGAGTAGAACTGAAGAGTCCACTCTGTGTCCAGGTTAGCATGTTCCTGTTGTCTGCTTGGAAACACTCACTTTCTCCTCGCCTTGGCCTCCACAACGGGGTCCCATTCTATCTCGGACTGAGAGACTGAGCGAGATGGGTCAATTGTTGATTCATCGCCTGTTCCATCTTGAAATGTCTTTTCGTGTCTCGTCTCGTCGACATCGTGACTATTCGCGGCCGTGGGGGTAAGGACAGAGGCCGTCATTCTGCCGGTTTTCTAGGTATGATATTAACCAACAACCAGGTATGCCATTACAAGCAAAAGAATATCAAGATCCAGAGATAGACATGTCGTCTATTTTGAGTCTCGGAGGTGGTCTCTAATACCACCATGTCGGGACATTTCCAGCTCCACCACGCCAAGAATCACACAATCCGCACTTGAGATGCCATCAACCCGTCTAGAACTGGGGAGGGTTACAATGTCCGAACCCCCCTTGTACTCCTCAAACCCGCCCATTGGCCAATCCCGAGATCGTCGGGGGGGTGAAAGGGCCAAAAAGCTGGTTTGAATCTTGCCCAGGCACTCTCCAAGACCTCGGTCCTGGTGGCTCAGATCATAGAACCCGGGAAGCGAATAGCAGACTTCCAGAACGAGTAATAAGGTGTGGACCGCGCTGCAATTGATTCCAAAGACCTAAGGCGCTAGCAATGACGTGCTCGCCGGTAACCCATTCACAACGCTTGACATGAAACGACTCGAACCACGCCCACGCATTAGCGTATCCGGAGTATTGGGCCAGGGTGAGTTCATCTGTCCTCGGTTGTGTCTTGGTGTGGTTTGTAAACTGCCAATGACATTTAAGTAGCCATGCATTGCGGCCTTCATTCTGTATTCAGATTCGTTTATCACCGATTTAGAATCACGTCACAATGGCAGTGAAGCGCGTGGCAGTTATCGGGGCTGGTCCTGCTGGTGCCATAACGATAGATGCACTGGCCCAAGAAAAGACGTTTGATCTCATTCGAGTCTTTGAAAGACGTGAAGGTCCAGGAGGATGCTGGTAAGTAACTCTCCTCTACCCTTCCTCCAATGGTGCTCACACGATATCCAGGATTGGAGACTCTGGTCGTCCCTCAACAGTCTCAAACTTCAAAAGTCTAGCTGAAAGGACGGCCGATACTCCTCTACAAGTCCCAGAGCATCTACCAAGCTATACACCAAAGTCAAGCCAGCCTCGTTTCACAGAGTCTTCAGTCTACCCTTACCTAGAAACCAACATTGACCATCTGCCTATGCAATTCAACCAAGAACCCATCCCAGCAGAGACGAGCGAGCGCTCCGTTGGTATATACGGTCCTGAGACGCCATTCCGCCACTGGGATGTTGTGAGACGTTACATAAAAAGCCTCGTTGAACGCAAGGGATATGAAGATCTCGTCTCATACAACACGACTGTCGAGCGTGTAGAAAAGGTTGGGTCTGAGTGGAAGGTAACCTTGCGAAGAGAAGGCAACGAGCGTGATTATTGGTGGGTTGAGTGGTTTGATGCCGTCGTCGTTGCCAGCGGACACTACTCTGTCCCTTACATCCCAGCCATCGAGGGTCTAGATGAGCTTGAAAAGTCACGCCCGGGAAGCGTGATTCACAGCAAACACTTTCGTGGCAGAGACCTGTACAAGGGCAAAGTAAGTATCCCCTTCAAATAGCGCCAGATCCTTCCATTAACACATCAAAGCGAGTCGTTGTTGTGGGAGCATCAGTATCTGCTGCTGATATAGCCTTTGACTTGGCCGACGTGGCTCAACGACCTGTTCACGCCATCACGGTCGGGCATACATTCAACGGCTACTTTGGAGATGAAGCCTTCAACCACCCTAACATCCAAAACCACCCCTCTGTCACGCGCGTCCAAGGCCGAGTCGTCCACTTGGCAGACGGAAGCTCGATCCAAGATGTTGATCATATCATCTTTGGAACCGGCTACAGCTGGACTCTCCCATTCTTGCCGGCCGTGCCCGTTCGCAACAACCGAGTCCCAGGCTTGTATCAACACATTGTGTGGCATGATGATCCAACATTGCTCTTCGTCGGAGCAGTACAAGCAGGATTGACCTTCAAAGTCTTTGAATGGCAAGCCGTCTACGCTGCCAGGTTGCTAGCCGGCCGCGGTACTCTACCAGACGCTGAAGAGAGACAGCGATGGGAAGAAGAGAGGATCAAGAAGCGAGGGGATGGTGCCAAGTTTGCCCTCATTTTCCCCGATTTTGAAGACTATTTCGAAAAGATTAGGGAATTGGCGGGCGAAGGGGCAGAAGGCGTTGGGAGGAAGCTGCCCAAGTTCAAGAGGGAGTGGTTCCGTGCGTTCCTCGAAGGTCACGAGTTGAGAAAGAATATGTGGAAGAGGTTGAATGAGGCGGCGAGAAATGGGCACGGAGAAGCGTCAGATGTTGGGGCAAAATCACGTCTATAACTACATGACAAAGAAATCCATCTGAAGTATCCCACTAGGTATTAATCCAAGAATCGACCACAATCCATGTACAACAACACAAAGAAAACAAGAAGACCGTTTACATTGAAGCATGCCTCAGGTGCTTTCCTCCAACGTATCCCTCAGCTGTATCAACAAAAAGCTTCCTCCCTTTGACAAACGACACCATGAATGAGAAAAGCTTCCAGTTTCCAATCTGACCCGTAGCGTATTTCTTTCCCAGAGAGATAAAGATCATGGCCTTGTTTGCTGGCTCATAAGACTTCACGAGGCCTTGTTCGGTCAAGGTCGCGTCCAGTGCCGCCGCCATGTGAATGATTTGGTTGTCGGTAATCGTGAGTTGCTTCGGATCGATGTTGCCAATATCCCCAATACCCCAGATGTTTTTCGTGCCAGCGACTCGCATTTTATCATCCAGTTTCACATTCCCGTCCGAGTCCAAGAACTCGTCAGGGAGGAACCCAGTGTTGAGCTTAATGCCATACAAGGGAAGATACAAGTCCGCAGTGAGGGTGCTTCCGTTCGACAGTGTGAGCTCCGTCTGTTTGCCATCTTGGCCGCCTCTTGTCTCGGTCACACGAGTTTTGTATATGAGCTTCACACCAAGACTCTTGAGGTCCTTCTCTACTGACGCTCGAACGGAAGAAAGGGCCCCTTCCAACGGTTGGTCACCACTCATTACAAGAGTGATATTCTTGGACCGTCCGTATCTCGCCGCCAGCTCTCCCGCGACCTCGATACCCGTAGCTCCAGCACCTGCAATAACGATCGACTTGGAATCGCCAACTCTCTTCTTCAAGTCTTTCCATGCCGAGAGGGTCTCTTTGTGGCTTCCGATGGGCTTGAGTGGCAAGTTGCTGGCTAATCGAGAACCAGTTGCGATGACCAATTGATCATAGACAATATCGCGTCGAATACCCTCTTCTGAAGAAACCTGCACAGAGTTCGCCGCAGGGTTAATCCTGTCTGCTTTGCCGAGAACAAACTCAAAGCTCTCGGAGGGGTATTGCTCAAAAGCAGGCTTGATGGGTAGGAAAAGTTGGTCGTCCGGGATGGCGTCTGGTATGATTCCACGTGTAGCCGCAACGTTCCAGAAGAAGTGACTGTTTGGAGATACGAGTATCACCTTGAGGGAAGGGACCTTGGGAACCGTGTACTTGAGGAGTTTGTGAGTCAAGGGGAGACCAGCCCAGCCAGCTCCGAGAATGACGACCGTCTTGGCCATGTTTGGTGGTTTCGAGTTGGCCGAGATGTAACGATTGTCGAATAATAGATAGGATAAGCGTACAATCACCAATGGCGTATGGCCAGTAGAAGTCAAGATGAAGCATTTATACCAGACTCGCCATCGGACAAGAGGTTCGGTGATGGTTATCACACAATACAACAAATGGCCCCGAATCCCCGCAAAATCCGCCACAATTCCAGTAACTCCTGTTAGTGCAGGCGACTCCACCGGTCACAGGGATCAAGACCGAACGCCGTGTCCGAGAGCGACGACCGATAACTCTCTCCTCTCCCTTGATGCCACATTCCATTCTCCCAACTCACAAGAAAGTGCTTCATAATCACGGCTTTCATTTCCGGGCAGACTTTACCCCTTCAATCCCATTTCCGTTCTGTTTATCTCAGAACCTCTGTTCTCGCTTCAGAACCCAGTCGGAGCTTGTAAGCGCCGATGACCGACCAATGTCATCTTCAGACAAACAACCTTCAGCCTCGGACGTAGGTCTCAAGATATGGAGCTGCGTCATCTGTCGTCGTCGCAAAGTTCGTTGCGATAGACGAGATCCATGTTCAAACTGCGTCAAGAACAACATTGAGTGTCACTTTCCAGTGACCGGTCGCATCCCTCGACGGAACCAGAATCCCAGTGCCTACAAGTCTCCGGCACAGAAGCAGTCGGAGCTCCTCGGTCGTCTTAGGCGTCTGGAGTCTGTTGTGACCGAACTTGCAGCACAAGTTGAAGATGGTTCTCAAGACCCCAAGGCCGCCATAGCTCCAAGACCTTCTGGGGCAGTCAGCATCTCAAGCTCAGAGACGGGTCCAACGCCCGGGGAATCTGATGTGACCGAGTCCTCATTGACGGTCTCTTCAACTGGCCAACAAGCTGGCAGTGAATATGACGAAGAGTTTGGTCGTCTAGTCGTCGACAAAGACGGTGGCCTCCACGTCGGAAACCGCTTCTGGTCCGTCTTTTGCGGCGAGGTAAACCACTTTCTCAAATCACCTCGTCAGCAACTGACAGGCTCCAGGTGGACAACATCCTACAAGCAGTGCATGATGTTGCCGAGTACTCCGGGTCATCTAGCGACTCAATTATGCCAGAGCCTGGTCTTGAAAGCGGACCATCTCCTCTCAGCCATCTGGGCTTCGTCTTTGGCAACGCCGACTTTGCCAAGGCTCTTGATGGCCTCAACCCCATGCCTTCTCAGATGTTGTTCATCTGGCAAGCATACGTTGAGAACGTGGACCCCTTCATCAAAGTCCTCCATGTTCCGACCGTCGAAAAGGTCGTTCGTGAATTAAGAGGCAACTTCAGTTCCTACGGTGCCAACATGGAGGCATTGTTATTCGCAATCTCACTCGCGGCGATTACATCCATGGACGAAGAAGCAGTGTCGTTCAACTTCAACACACCAAAATCCCAGCTTATCCAACGGTATCAATTTGGAACTGAGCAAGCTCTCGCACGTGCAGATTTTCTCGTCACCAAAGACATCATTGTCCTCCAGGCACTCGTCGTTTATCTGTCCCTGCTTCCCCATCTTGGATCCAAGGAAAAGGTATGGCCAATGATGGGCCTATCTCTGAGGCTTGCAAAGTCGGCTGGACTTCACCGCGATGATGCTAGACATACGAAAAGTCAACTGGAAATAGAAACCAGGCGGCGCCTGTGGTGGCAGATCTGCTTCGTGGATTCCCAGAGTCGGAGGGCTGAGGCCCCTGAGCTGTCCATCACGTCGTCGTCCTTTGACACGAGCATACCCTCGAACTTGAACGATATCGACCTGCTCGACGGTGCGCCATCTCGCCTACCAGTATCCCATGAGAAGCCGACAGCCACGACACTGTGTCTCATCCGCTGCGAACTATGGCGACTAACACAGTCGTTACGTGACAACACAACCAAGAGCCCTGAATCACATCTTGAGCTTCTCAATCTAACCAAGACAAAGATTGAGACCAAATATCTCTGCCACCTCCAGCTAGACAGGCCTTGGGACAGCTTCATCAAGACCATGGCGACGCTCTTCTTCTCCAAGGTCGAGCTCCTCATTCGCCGGCAACACAACTCACAACACTCGAACAACACGTCCCTAGAGCCAGCCATGAACACCATCAAATCCGTTCACGCCCTCAAGACAAACCCTTCTTGGTCCAGGTGGCGCTGGCAGCTCCAGGGTCAGGTTCCGTGGCATGCAATGGGAGTATTTCTTCGTCAGGCATGTCGCCAACCATGGATACCTCCTCTGGAAGAAACCTGGCAAGCCACTCAAGAACTCATTACTTCCACCCCGGAGAGCATGAAATCAGGACCAATGTGGCAGTCACTGATGAGCTTATCTGCAGGGGCACAAGCACACCGAGAAAGGGAATTAGAGGCTGAGGCACAGCCAGGCAGCCGGGCCGGTGATCCCACGAGTTTCAATGCCGAGGCAGCTGCGATTATTCACTCACATGATCCTATCACAGTCAGCGCATCGAGTTTTCAATCTTCATTGCATATATCTCCCCCAGACCCTGGCAATCCGTTGATGCATCAACACGGTATTGGGTTGCATGGAACATCCAATAATCCTCCATTCTGGACTCCAGCAGGAGACATGACAGGCTTTGGACAAGTTCACCCTCCTGAAGATATTTCGATACTTGACGATACTTCCCTGATGGATTGGGAGGCTTTAGCAGATATGGATGGGTCGTGGGCGACATGGGACCTTTTTTGAGTCGGTCTCGGGTAGATGCCCATCCACGGTGGACAAACAACTCCGACTCGAACACTATTAGCCCGACTTTGGGCTGTTCTAGGTATTACTTTGCGCTCCTTGCAAGGCTCCAGGAATCTAGGCGGAAATGCTTTCACGTAGCTTGGCGGAGTTCCGCCCAGTTGTCAGCTTTGGCCTCAAGCATAACGTGAGACATTCACATCACTTGGTTACCTATAAAACACGACACAGTCCGTTGAATCAAGCAGCGGTAGTCACTTGAACTATTCAGTCAATAATAACCGACATACTGATTTGCCAATCAACTCGTGGTAACCTCTTATACACACCAGTGCTTAGGCGATAATGACATTCCGCGCATTGTATACACAACTCTTCCCCCCAGCACCGCCGCTCACCGAAGATAATGTCCCCTCACAACGCGGAAAAGTTTTTATCGTGACGGGTGGAAACTCGGGAGTTGGTTTCGAGCTATGCAAGATCCTCTACACCACAGGGGCAACGATCTACATGACGTCCCGATCAGAGGTGAGCTTTATATACAGTCCTTATCACACTTAAGCTCACATGCCCTATAGGAACGCGCAATGAATGCTATCAAGCAAATTAAAAGTAGCGAACCAGCCAACCCCGGAGTGCTTAATTTCCTTCACCTGGACCTCGACGACCTCCACTCGGTCCGGGTCTCGGCAGCCAAGTTTGCGAGCCAAGAGGCCAAGCTCGACGTCCTCTGGAACAATGCCGGAACGGGCGGATACCGTGTCTCGCCAGGAGCCAAGACGGCTCAAGGCCTCGAGGCCATGGTGGGCATGCATTGCGTGGCCACTCTGCTCTTCACCACCCTCCTTTTACCGCAACTCCGTGCCGCCGTGTCTGCGAGGGTTGTCTGGACGTCTAGTATTGTTGCGGATCAAGGGTCACCGCCCAATGGCATCAACTTTGATACCCTGTCAACAGGCACACCAGACCGTGTGCTCAACTACGCCGTCTCCAAGGTAGGCAGCTGGATGCTAAGCCGTGAGCTGGCCCGTAGACACGGCAGCGAAGGCATCATCAGCGTCGCCCAGAACCCAGGCAACGTCAAGGGCGGTTCGTACGAGGGCACCCCAGCCGCGACCATGTTCCTCCTCAACCGGTTCCTCCTCCACCCTTCCAAGTTCGGGGCGTACACGGAGCTCTACGCCGGACTTTCCCCCGACATCACACCCGGCGACAACGGAGCCTACATCATTCCGTGGGGGCGGATCCGGCCGGACGCCGAGTGTCCACGCAGAGACATTGTTCACGCCATGTTGAGGGAGGAGGACGGCGGGCTGGGATACTGTAGCAAGTTGTGGGACTGGTGTGAGGAGCAGTGGCAGGCATAGGGGAAGCTCAGGTGAGGCGACTGCCGAGCTTCGGCCGGGTGACGGTGGCTCGAGATATATATCGTGGTTGGTGATTATTAGTTCATGATTGTATGGAGTTTTGTAGCAGGCGACTTGGAAGGCAGGGTACAAGGGGTTGAATCCCGACAACTTTGGCGGTTTTGGAACATGGATCGGGGATGGAATCCATTCAACGATTCGCAATCATGACTCGATTCCTTTGTGAGAAGGTTACGGAGTTAAGACACAAAACAAACCATGCAACATTCACCCACCTTTATGCTGTTGGTTCCGGATTGCGACCTACCCAAGACTTCGTATCAAACATTAACGCGCGTACAAAATGCCGTGACCAGAAGACGCAGGGTGACGTGACCCTGACATTTATAGAATGCTTACAAGAGGAAGAACCAACACGGGATAGATCTACCCAGCCAAGCAACAGCCAAGATGTCGAAATCAAGGCAGTGGGGCTTGAAAGGTCCTTGGAAGCTCCAGTTTAACTACCTCTAAGCGCGTACAGCGGTCCTGACCTTGTTCTTGATGTCGGAGGTTTTACCGGAGGGAGTTGATGGATCAACATCACCAGCCAAGGGTTCGCCTACTTTATCGGATATTTACTTAACCGAATTGCCAGGTCCACTTGTTCCCAGGCGCCGACATGAGACAAGGGGTCGCTGGTTTCAAGATGCCGGACTCAACCTGGGGAATCGAATGTCGGCGCCATCGTCAGGCTTTGGAGATTATCTGAGACGTTGAAAAGCAGGCGATCGACAAGGAAAGGATCCATCTCGTGGTTTATAACTGCTACTCTTTTAAAGTCATGACGCTGTACTCTAATTCCCTGTACTCTAATTCCAAACTCCACCAATTAATTAATCACCGTCTCGAGACGGGAATCAACTCACACAGCCTCGAAACGAAAGCCGAGGATCAACGGAGAGAGGGGTTGGTTGCATTTTTCTAGACCCAGGTTCATCTTTTTCAGCTGCATTTTCCCATTTGGATTGAGAACGTACAGTAGTCTCATGACTGTGGCTTACGCTATTGACACAGCTGGACACGTTCGCGACCGGGACTATCGAACGCCGACATTTTATACGTGATTTTTCTTCTCCATTTTACTGCAAAAGTCGGTTGACGTTCTGATGAAACCCATATGACTTGAAAGCCTGGAATTGTCTCGTCTTCGATAGCCCTTTTATAGCAAAGTCTCCCTCTCATCCATACAAGTCTTAGACATTCGGGCCATCAATACGGGTTGGCTTCCACCCTGTGTTCAGCCATGTGGGGGGGTTGGCTCAGAGAGTCAGTTGAATACCCAAAAACTCGGGTATTCCGCGTGGCAGAAGAAAAAGAAAAAGAAAGAAGCAGAGACAAATGAATTGAAACAAGACGTCTGATGTTCAAAGAAAATCATCGTCATGACCTTGAAAAACAAGCCTTTTGTCTCTGACTCTTGGCACAAACCCATCATCCCCCACGACCCTCTCCCCCCCTCAATCAATCATCCCCTATTATTTTAGAGGCCGAACCGCCCTGGCCACCCCTCACACCACCACCACCCACAAATTCCTCTCATGATTGGCAGCAGCACGCGAAGCTTCCCCCCGGCGGATCGCAATCTTAACCAACCGACACTTTATCCACAATTAGTTCGTCAGCCGCTGTCGGTATTTTACTGCTTATTTGTTGCATACAGCAAAAGCAGGCTGGGTCACATTCAAAGACCCTCTTTTCTCGGTTGTCCATCTTTTTTCTGCCGCGCATGCAGATGAAATTCAACAGGGGGGCGTTGATATAGCAATAGCACTTCTTTCTTATCCCGCCTTCCCCCGTTTAGTTGCAAGTTGCAAGGCCGTCTCTCCCTGAAGGCTGAGCGTGTATGTAGTGGCGCCAGGTTCCTTGCCCATCCCAGACACTGGATAACGCGGTTTTCCCTAGAGTAGTATCCCATCGACCCCTTTTTCCCGCCCCCCCGAAGCCAAGCCGAGAGAGAGAGAGAGAGAGAGTCGAAGTTGGGTGACGTCTGAACAAAACTACGCGGCTGCCGGATTAGACTACAGCCAGGGCCCAAAACTCTGTTTCTTTTCTCTCTTGCTTGCAGCCGCGCAAAACGCAAACGCAACACTTCTGGAAAGCTTGTTCAACGCTTCACCATTCCACTCTTTATTTCCCTTTTTATTCCGAGTTTCGTTTCATTCTTCTTCTCTTTTTCACACCCCTCCCAACTGACAGGTGCAACTCTCGTTCATTCTTTGTACGACATAATACCACCTGCCGCCACACTCACGCTCTTTAAAATCTCCGGTTCATTCGCTATAACCTCAATTCACCCCTCCAACTTCAATACATAATGGCCGTCGAACAGAAGCCTCAGGTAGAGTCTCGTCCGCCGTCCAGACTAAAGATCGCCCTGGTGGTGCTTTTCCACTCGTCTTGCGCCATCTGGAGCACCATCCTTTCCAAGTCGGCCCTCAACGGCGTCGAGGCACCCGTCACCCTCCTCGCTCTCCAGACCACCATCCAGGTCCTGCTCCTCACAGTCATTGGAGGCTTTACAGGATGGGTTAAGTTGTATCGCCCGACTGGGGTATGAAATGAACCTTTCCCATTGTAAATCGCATCTTGCTCATTATCCATAGGCTTGGGTGGCTCTCCTCCCCCTCACGGTCGCTCGTCTCGTCGGAATCCTCGCAAAGACCTACTGCCTCGCCTCGGTCAACGCCTCCGTCTACCAGATCGCCCGTGGTCTCCTCCTACCGTTCACCCTCTTCCTCTCGCTCCTGGTCCTCCGACCTCGCCCCTACTACCCGCCGCTGTCGCTGGTCGGCTGCGCCATGGTCATGGCCGGCTTCGGCACCGGTATGATGGCCGACTACAGCCAGATGCTCACCTCGGGCAAGGGTGTCCTCCTCGGAGTCGGTTCCAGCTTCACCACCGCCGTCGAATCCGTCGTCGTCAAGCGCTTCCTCGGCAAGAGCCAAGAGGGTATGTGGCAGATGGTCTGGATGTCCAACTGCATGGCCGTCCTCTTCTACATCCCTCTGCTGCCCCTCTCTGGTGAGCTCTCCACCATGAGCTCTCTCTTCTCCGCCGAGACTGCCGACATTGGCCGCCAGTTCCTCGGTTCAGCTTGTCTTACCGGTGTCTCCGCCTTCCTCCTCACCATCGCGACCTTTATGCAGATCGAGGTCACCAGCCCGACAACCCACATGATTGTCACCGCCGCCCGAGGCGTTGCTCAGAGCTCACTCGCCGTCATGCTCCTCGGTGAGCTCCTAACCGCCGACCGCGCCGGCAGCATGGCCCTCATCCTGAGCGGCAGCGCCCTCTACGGATGGGCCCGCGACCGATACCAGCAAGCAAAGAAGCCGGCGGCTGGGAGCTACCAGCTTCTCCCCAACGAGGAGGCGCAGACAGGGATGGAGAGCAAGGAAGCCAAAGAAATCAAAAACTAAAGCTAAACTAAAGATACCAAAGACTTTTTCTACATGTTATTTTCATTTCTTGTTTGGTTCGGGAGGGCGGTTTTCATGAGACAGGTGTTTTGGATGACAAGACACGGCTTACATTTTCTTTTCCTTATACTATAGACGTAGATATCTCATCATACAATTGAGCGTCTTTGTTCGATACCTTAAACATGTCTCCCTCTGTTTTGATTGTATATCATCAACATGCCAATGACGACGACGTAATGAATGCCCTTGTTTACCTCTCTTATCGATCGCCAAGACAAGACCTTGGAATGGGCGCTTGGGCACTTCACTCCACCACCCCCTCGTCTCCACCGCCTCTGGTCCATCGATTGCACCATCACACCCCGCACTGTACAGACAGAGCTGGAGTCAAAGATAACAGCCTCGCAATGGAATGCGGACATTCGACGCCTCCTCCGTCGCCCGAGAGACATTGTGTCAGTCAGACACACACTTACGCACGCTCAAGACATCAGCGCTATAATTGGAGGAGGCATTACGTACGATACGATAAGACACCAAAATATCAACAGAAAAAAGTGTATTAAGCTCCGGGTCATAGCGATAAATGTGATCAAAACATAACTCAAGTTAATCCGCTCATCCAGACACCCCCATTGATTGACAATGCCCAGTCAGTAATAATTGTACAAAACGAAATCCCTTCATAGGTCTCTTCATAGCTAAATGTCCGTTCGGTTCGTAGATAATAGATACCACTTCACTTGTCTTGCTTTTGGGCCTCGGCGTACGCCTTGACCTTTGCCTCGCCCAACTCCATCCACTCGTTGCAGTTCTTCTGGTTGTCCGCCATCAGCTTCTTGTTCAGGTCCCGGACCTTTTGTCTTCGCTTGATGAAGCCGTCCTTGTCGGCAATGACGCGCTCAATCGTGTCCATCTCTCCCTCACCGGGTCGGGCGACCCATGTAACCTCCTTGGGGAGATAAGTGTAGGCGTTGAGGAGCTCCTCGTTCGCGACGATGGGCGCTCCGGCGATCAGGGAAGCGGGGATGGTGGAGGACGCCTTGCGATCGTAGTAGGTATCGGAGGCGAAGCCAGGAATGATGGAGAAGGAGCGCGAAAGGAGAGCGTAAAAGTCGGGGTAGGACAGGCCAGAGTCGAAGAAGATGTTGTTCTTAACATGCTCGGGCACCTCAGGTTTAGTGCCGTGTCCAATCACATGGAGCACCACCTCTTCAGGCTCATGGTCCTCGGTGGTCTCGTTGGCCTTGCGGATGACGGAGCCCAGGTGGTTGAAGATGCCGTTGTAGTCGCGACGACCAGAGGAGTAATCACCCTGCATGGCGAGAGAGATGGCATCGTCGGGGTTGGTCTCGGGGACTTCGACGGGGTACACGGGGGGAATGACTCGGGTGGTGAGGTTGGCGACCGAGTGCCACTTGGGGACGGTCTCCTTGACGAGGAAGTCGAGGGTGTGCTGGCTCAGGCCGACAAAGTCAACCAGGCCGCGCTCAGCCCATCCGCGGACGGTCGAGACATACTTGCCCTGGGCCCAGCGGTCGGCGTGGTGGATAGTGCAGAAGAGGAATGTCTCGCCGTGGTTGAGAAGATCGACGACGGGATCGGTACCACGGTCCAGGTCAAACTCGCACGTCGTCGAGACGAGGATATGAGGTCGGGGATCGGAGGTCATGGCGCCCGCAAACTTGTCGAACTTGTTGATGGTGACATTGGCAGCGAGGGTAAAGTTGTCCATGATCTCGCGCATGTTGAAGCGCTGGTTGGCAAAGTAGGCGTCGAGCTGCGAGTTCTCGTAGTTACCAAACGCGTGGAGCATGGCGGCGGCCACCTCGTCGTGAGTACCCGAGGACTCGACGAGGGCGATGCGCAGAGGCTCATCGCCCTTTCGACCCTTGTAGGTGCTCTTGCTGTTGCCCTTGTCGCTGCCCTTATCACCAGATCCCTTCCACGATGAGAGGACACCATCGTCGGTGGTGAAGGGGATGCGCCAGCTCTTGGGCGGGCTAGGAATGGATGACCAGGCATCATCTCTGAAGCTCACAAAGAAGATGACAACGGCGAGCAGAATCGCAAGCCATAGCAGCGAATAGAATCGCCGAGGAAGAGCGACGGCAGACATTTTGGGCTGCTGTGCTTTGATGAAAAGTGATGGTTTCAAAAGAGTGGACGATGATGTAGAAAACAGTCGAGCATCACGACCCCGACAGCGTAAGTTTGGCGAGAGACCCAAGTTTTTGGCAGAATTTCTTTGAGACAGTGCCAGAGGGGAAAGGGGTTAAAGTGATTGCCACCCAAACTTCCGATAGGGGGGCAGTGTCAGCGCTTAACTACATACTGTCAGACGGTGCCAGCGCCCGCCTCTGATAGGAGGGGATCCGAAGTAACAGCCAGCGAGTCCATTTTTTACTCTTCAGCGGCGCAGGCAACCACCTTCCCACCAGAATCCTTCTTTTCGGCACGGAGTTCCCCGTCATATGCAATACTGGGGGCGAAGGCGATAGTGTTTTTCTCGCTCTTGGTGAGCTATCGCTGACAAAAGTCTAGCGGCGTCAATCTATCTCCGACCTACCAATTCAAATTGATCAGACACGCCCCCCCTGAGCTAGAAGCTAAAGATCAAACATTGGAAATAAGCCAATATTTAAGCCTATGTACTTGACGCGATTGAATGGCAAAGAGGCATCGTTGCGTTGCAGTCAAGGTCCAGCTGGGCGAGAGAGTGGATTAATAGTCCTCCACCTCCAATCTCTCAGCCAAGGAAAAGCCCTTGCAGCCACCTCCTTTAACCGCCATTCTCCACGTGACATGACCTTGGCATTGGTCGCAAGCTCATGGAGACATTGTTTCAGCCAGGGGTGGTAGTTCCAGCGGCCGACGATCACTTCTGTCGCAAACCAACGGGGCAGGGCATGGCTCGGTGAGTTTAGAGATGGAGCCAAGATCAACAACGTGTCCGGAAAAGGAGATGGTGATGTTCCCGCATATCTTGCCAAAAGTGAAACCGGACCGGGGGGGAGGCGGTCAATCCGCAACTGTTGGAGTCTCGACGTCACATGTCTCTGTTTCCATGTCGAGAGACAATGAGGTGATGGATTCTTTATCGCCTGCCCATTGTCCAGAGAATGCTGAGACTCAATGGGGTGGTAGTAGTGAACAATGCAGTGAACAATGATTGATAACGTCTTTATCATTATCTGTCTGTCTGTCTCTGCTGTACAGCTCAACGCTGGTCTATGGCGATGCTTTCTGCTCGTCTTTACCTGACCTTGAAAGAACAAAGAAAATAAAAGGAGGGTAAAAAGAAAAAATCTAGAGGCTGTAAACGATTAAAACAATGAGTTGACTCCGTTTGGTTTGCTCCCCATTTCCCCATTGCCAAGACCGCTGGAATGCCCCCAATCCAGAAAATGTGGTGGTTGTACGGAGGTCTATCTCAAAAGTTTTGTCCTGGCCCTCAAGCCACACAAATACACGAGCCAATCAGAGGCCATTTTCCAAGCACAGTTACATCGGTACTTATGGTCCTCTTTCTTTGCTTTTGAAGCCCCTATCTTCTAAGGATATAGCTCTCTAAGCTTCACTAGATTTCCCCCTGGGCTCCAATAGCCCTCCCTATAGCTTTAGGGAGTAAGTAACTGAAAAGATTTGCTCCAAAGTACCTCAGGTACCGACAGGGATAAGCGGCCTTGGCGCTATTAGCTCCTGGACAAAACTTTTGAGAGAGACCTCCGTAGTTGTAACAAGAAATAACCCCAGCCAGCTCGGGACCAACATGCAATTCTTTTTAATACACAACCGATGGACCAGCTTGTCAGATTACAAGGTGATACATGGAATCAAGCTTTTTAGGTCAAATCATGAACTTGGTTGGTTCAGCTCTTGCTCGAAAAACATGCGCGCCACGTCAAACGCCGAATGGATGCTCTTGGTGATGCGCGTGCATTTGCAGTCGCGCGTCCACGTGTTGTGAAAGTTGAGGTTCTTGCCCAGCTTGCTGTCCATCAGCACATGAGGCACTCCGATGACGGTCGACAGGATGTGGCCGTGCAGACGGTCCGTGATGACGAAGCGAGCCGATCCGAGGAGGTCGAAGCCGGCCATCGACTTGGCCCACGCTCGCTGGTTCTTGCCTCGCTCTCGGTTGTCCTTGTTGTCAATGTCGGGCGTCTCGGTAAACTTCCAGTCCACCTTGCGGTATGTGACGTTGCCCACGGCGCCGCCCAGGTCGATGCGGCCTTCACCAAAGGGGATCATGGCGGAGTCGCCCGCAGAGATCTCGGCGTCCTTTCTTGCAAGAATGAGGATGTCGTGGCTGGGAAACAGAGTTAGCGGCTGCAGTAGAAAAACACCGCCACGAGGATCTGCAAGGAACTCACGTCTTGGGCGTGTTGACTCGGAAGTCTGATCGGTTCCCCCACATAAAGGCGATATCCGGAATAAGATCGTTGTCAATACCATCGGTCTGGCCAAAGTTGTCAAGAAGCCAATCGTAGCTGGGCTTGTCACGGGCGGCAAGCTGAAGGTCGTGGTGCTTCTTGAAGGCGACGTGAGTAAGGTTGATCCTCTCGGGGTTGTTCATAAAGATGCTCTGAGGAAAGGCGCGGACGGAGACGTTGGTAAAGGTCGAGATCATCTTCATGCGCGACGGTTGGTCCTCCCAGTAGTAATCGTTAAAGTTGCCGCCGCCAGCCATGATGATGGCCGAGTGCGGGCGGTGCTCCTCGAGTCGGTTGCGAAACTTCTCCATGTCACATCCCTGATGCATGAAGCTGTAGCACCAATTGTCAGTATCTCCTCCGTGTATCGACGGCATGACAGCAGGGTCTTACCGGCAAGCTTCCATAGTCTCAATGCCGAGAATGCTGAGGAGGATCTGTTGGGCGGACCAGATGGCGGCATCTCCCTTGTTCTCGGTCTCGAGGTATCCCCAGATGTTGGCATAGCGAATACCCTTGAATCGCTTCTGGTAGGTCTGGATGATTCGCTGCTGAAGGTCGTTGACAAGGTCCTCGCAGCCGGCGGTTGGTGGCCTGGTCAGGTCGTACGAAATGTCCCTGTTGGGATCAACCTCCTCCTCTTCCTCCTCCTCGATGGGTGTAGGCGTTGGTGTCGCAGAGGCCTGGGTGGTGCTCCCTTTGGACCATAGCGAATCTGTGCTCGGTAGACTGGCCCTGAAGCTGTCGGGCGCCTGGTAAGACAGCAGCAGGACGAAGACAAACAGGACTGCAACCACGGCTAGCGCGATGCGTCCGAACCGGTTCATTACGGGCAACATGATGAAAAAAGAGAGTGAACACCCGGAAAACGTCACGGAAATCAAGAAAACTTGAGGGGTCAAAGTCGTAGCACTGACGGAGGAAACATTCCCTCTTTTCACTCTCGATCAGAAGGAGGGACCAGCGAGAGCACCCAGATAAAAGAATGGTCGATTCTAACCAAGACCACCAGCGCCACGCGCGCCCAGCCCACACACCCACGGATCCATGAATGGACCCCTGGCTCTAGTATGGATGTGGATGGGATGTGGATGTGCCATCCTCCAAGCCTTGGCCCATGGTCCATGACGGATTTCCTCTTCTTGGCAGGGATCGTTGTAGCCCCCTTTTCAACCGGTATACACACACCCCGTGCCTTTGCCCCGGTATTCGCATCATTCAAGATGCATTTAGCGCCAACTTACGCGGCACGGAAAGAGGCCACAGGTCACTTCCTTCTGCGGCTTTGGTGCAAACTGGGATAGACCAGGCTCTGTCACTGCCAAGCGCGGCCCCCCTTTTCTATATCCGAATTTCTCTATCCCTCGTCCTCCACCTTGGCCTCCATCCCACGTACGCGCTTTTGGCCTTGGAAGCCATCTTTTTTCCCTTCTTGTTTGGAGACCATCATCTGGTTCACCATCTGTTTCCCGTCCCTGCTCCCTTTGAACGACTGACTGTTGTTCGTCCGCTCGTTTCTGCCGATCGATCGCCCTGCCGAACCCCCTCGCCTGCCAATCCATCATGGCTGACAACAAGAAGAACGACGATTTCGTCGCTAATATGCCAGATAACGGCATCGGCGATGGTGACAAGGAGAATGATTCTCTCGTCGGTCGCGGCGCCGGTACCGATGCCATCCCGCCTCCTCCCACGGGCTTCTTGGCCAAGATCGAGAACAGCGGGCCATTCTCCATCATGGCCTACTGTGTTTCATCCATCAGCATGACCGTGGTGAACAAGTATGTCGTATCGGGTACTTCGTGGAATCTCACCTTCTTCTACCTCGCCATTCAGGTGCGTCCATCTCCATCCATTGCATCGCGCGCAATTCTAACTCGTCTAGTCCATTGTCTGCATCATCACCATCACAGCATGCAAGTACTTTGGTCTTATCAAGTCTCTCGCTCCCCTTGACCCTGAACGGATCAAGAAATGTACGTCCCCTTGGCCTTAGATGCACAAAGATGTGGCTTGCTAACGTGCGTCATGCATAGGGTACCCCATCTCGCTCGTCCTCGTTGGCATGATCTACACTAGCACCAGGGCCCTGCAGTACCTCTCGGTGCCTGTGTACACCATCTTCAAGAACCTGACCATCATCGCCATCGCCTATGGAGAGGTCCTCTGGTTCGGTGGTGCCGTCAGCCCCACCGCTCTCTCCGCCTTCGGTCTCATGGTCCTGAGCTCCATCGTCGCCGCCTGGGCCGATATCAAGAGCGCCATGTCGGGCGACTACAGCGCGACCGCTGGTGACAAAGATGCCCTCGCGACCCTCAACGCTGGCTACTTCTGGATGGCTATGAACGTCTTTTGCTCTGCCTCGTATGTTCTAGGCATGCGCAAGGTTATCAAGAAGATGAACTTTAAGGACTGGGACTGTATGTTTATCCCCCTTGGCCCTGTTGACGCACAAGGTCGAAACGTTGCTAACTATTACTGCAGCCATGTACTACAACAACCTCCTCACCATCCCCGTCCTTGTTATCTGCTCGCTCCTCACCGAGGACTGGTCCAGCGCCAACTTTGCCAAGAACTTCCCCGAGGAGTATCGCAACCGCATCACGATCGGCATCATCTACTCTGGCGTGGCCGCCATCTTCATCTCGTACTGCACTGCTTGGTGTATCCGTGTCACCTCGTCCACCACCTACTCCATGGTCGGTGCTCTGAACAAGCTGCCCATTGCCATCAGCGGCCTCATCTTCTTCGCCGCCCCCGTCACCGTCGGCAGCGTTTCTGCCATCTTCCTCGGTTTCGTCAGTGGTCTCGTCTACACCTGGTCCAAGGTCAAGGAGTCTGAGGCCAAGAAGAACTCTCTCCCTACCGCTGAGAACCGAGACTCGTCAAAGTAAAATTTGACAATTCATGACAACGACTCGCCCAACATCAATTAGATGAGCACAACCCTACGCGGGGCTTCCAATTCGAGTCTTTTCGCTTGTAGACTCAAAACGACGAATGGTGCATCCGGCGAGGTGCACGACGATAATGTAGACAATTTTGTAACAATGTCATAGAATCATAGCTTGCAATCTTTGAAGGAGGGGGCAAGGGCAGTAATCTTTTTAAAGCGTCTATAGATATGAATTGTATAGAAGTCTTGTTTCCATGAATCTTTTAGTTTCTTCTGCTTCATCCAAGTCTGCCTCTTGACAGGACCCTTGCTTGTTCATCGATCGTCATGACAGATGTCACCACGCTCGAGCCTCAAGTTGACATGACGTCTATTCTAGAAGAAGAAACGAACGGGCTTGAAACTAGGACAACAGACCCTGACATCCGATAGGGCCTAGTCAAGATCAGCTCCGGCTTTTCACTCCGAAGTTGCACAAGATGGCGTCCGTCAGCACATCTGACATTGATCGGGCTCTGATACAGCGCAAGTAAGCTGGATTCCGTAAGCCCGGCTCATACTCGCACTCTATCTCCAACACAAACCATGCACAAAACGGTCCACCTTGAAGGCTTGAACCTCAACATCACACCCCCTATTTCCTGCATCGCCCCGGGGAGGCCTGGCTTCCGCTAAGGCTGAGACTAGCGAAAAAGAACGCCATCTCATAAGCTTACGGCTCTGGACCCGAAAAATATCTCCTCGAGCGGGTTAAGAGAAAATGGGACGCTGCAGGAATCATACTCTTGAGGGTAACTCTTCAGACAGGGTAAAAAATGATATGATAGCAATTAAAGAAGACAGTGTTTCTTATCAGAATAATTGTATTGTTTTAGAATTGTTATATAATTATCACAAGTTGAGCGGCCTTCAAGTTCAGTCAATCCTACACTCATTCATTTCTTGGCCCCGTTTGAGGCATAAGGGGGTGTTTTTTTGTCTGTCACTCACCTTTCGTGACTGGGCGTCTCATCAGAAAGAGAAAAGAGGCGCTGACCCCCTTTTTTTAGATGTCGCTTCGAACTGTGGCGCATGTGCCATGGACGGTTACTGTACGAGAAGAGCAGTTGGTTATGCCTCGGCTGACTTCCATGATGTGATAGTCTAGAACTTTTTTCAGCCCGCATGCTCGCTACTGTTAACTTGTTGGTTCAGCTCGCATTGGATTCCACATGAGGAGTATCCATCGTTGTATACGAGGCGTTTATACGGGGTTTTGCATTTCAATGGTCGTGTTCAATGGGTCGACTCCGTTGCTTCTACCAACCAACCAAGCCTTGATACACCCCCTCCTAGCTCATCTACACGAGTCGATATGTGCTTTCACCGTTCCTTGCATGAGAACTGCCACGTGAAAGCCAAGGCCTCAACTAAACGCTCCCAAGCCGCCTAGCAGTTCTGAAATGGAAAATGGTAGTGTGACGGACCAGGCCTCGCAACGTCGGGTGTGACTTAACTAAACCAAACAATTGCCATTGCCTCTATCAAAATCCATCTTGTTGTATCAGATCTCATTATGCGCCGTGCCATGCCGTTCAATCAATGACAGGTCACCCTTGAACCTGTCTTCTACATTTTATCCTTCCATCGTTTACCGCACATCCCATGAGTTCACTCCATGATAAAGACACCAATGTCTCTTTACTCAGAGAAATCAGACGCTGATGGTCCTGAACACGCTAAACTCCTCTCCAGTAGCCACCAAGCTACCCGTGATCTGAGGGTGCCAGTGAACCTCTTTGGCGTCTTTGAGGTAGTGCACAAACAGCAGCTGAGGCGGCACATCCTTGACACCAGCAGTGTCCTTGCTCTCTTCGTCATCCAGCTCGACGGCAAGATCCCACAGCGTAACCGTGTTGTCGCCGGCGGCCACGGCAACGATGGAGTCGTCGGTCGGATGCCACTCGACGCTGGTGATCTGCTCCTTGTGGAAGTTGAAGCTGGCGATGGGCTGCGGCTTGTCCGAGCTGGCCTTCCACTGCCGGAGGTCCCACACGCCCCAGACACCATCGTCGGCGCCAGAGGCGAGCAGGTGCGACGTCTGACGGGACCACGACATGACGTTGACGTCGACGTTGGACACCTGCATCGTGATGGCGGGCTTGCGAGACTTGGATCGGACGTCCCACACGCGGATGGTGCCGTCGCTCGAGGCGGAAGCAAACACAGATTGCTCAGAAGGCGACCATTGCAGTTCCTCGACGCTGCTCGTGTGGCCTTGGAAGGCCCGGTTGTCTGTGACCCAGCCGCCTCCGTCGGTGCGAGTCGTCACGTAGATGAGGCCGTCGTTGTCGCCGGTCAGCAGCTTGCCGCCGGGGATCATGGGGGACCAGTCGAGGGCGTAACCCTCGCTCTTGTGCGCGCGGACGGTAGAGATGGGCTTGTTCTGCTGGGGGGTGATGGTGGTTCCGGGGTTGTCGAACGAGGCGAGGTGAGGGGTGATGTCGTGGATGAAGACGTTGGTAGACTCGGTCATGGTCGCCGTAAGTGTAGTTCCAGGTCGTCCAGCTTCTTGGCTGGGGATCTGATGGGCGCGGATACGGTTGGTGGTCGAGTTGAGAGGAATTGACTTGCTCTCAAGGATAGGGTCAGAGTCCTCGTCGTCATCGTCCTCCGAGTCGGAACCCTCGTCGCCACGGTCCATCTTGCTCAATCCACTAAACTTCATCACCATGATCTGGTTGTCAGATGCCTTGGCGTTCTCGGCTTGAGTACCAGCGACGGTGTACATGGTGGCAGGGTATGCCTTGCGATTGTCGCCGAGGCCATCGCGCACGATATCGAAGGACAGGCAGGGCCATGGGGTGCTGAGGTTGTGCAGCATCTCGTAGGTAGTCAGATCGGGAGCGAGGGTCTGGCCGGGCTCGAGTTTGCTTCTGCCGACGATAAAGGTTCCTTGGTCTTGGTCGACGTCCATTGCGTCTGCAGTCAAGCTGTTAGTGATGGTGTTCCTCGTAGTAGCTCCAGTATCTTCCACACTTACCCTTCTCTTCAGCCTCGCGCTCAGCATCAGGTCTTCCATCGACACCAGCCTCAAGAATCTCGTCCTCGCTCTCAAACTCATCCTCAAATTCGTCCTCAAACTCGCCCATATCCTTGGTGTTGTCATCGACATCCATCTTCTCGGGACGGTCGCCGCCCTTGAGGGGCGCATCGCCAAGATCGGCGTCGGCGGTTCGCTTCGACATTGTGTATTCGTGTATTAAGATCTGGAAGGAGGTCGATAAATTGGTTCCTTATCGTGGTTGAAACTCAGATCCACGCGCCAAGATAAAAAAAAAAGTTGAATTTTGACGCCGTGCTTTGGTGCCCCTCCATCAACCCAGAGAAAAAAAATTTTGGGGACTGGCCAACCCCGCCATGACGCGGGGCATTAATCCCGGAGATTTTCCGTACAGAACTCGGTCATTGAAGACAAGGACAGCGAAAGACGCATTGAGGATGTTGTAGATGCGTGTTGAAGTCAACTATGAAGCTGCGATGCCCGATACATCGTTTTACTGTATTATCAACGATATCTTTTTGCAATGTTAATTAAACTAGCTGAATACGTCATCTCTTGAGTGTATTCCATCAAACAATTTGCAATACATCCTTGACTTACCCTAGGCTTGCTGATAAATTCAAGTCAAAGTTGGTCCCCGACACTCATCGTATTCGTTCACGTATTGTACAGTACAGTACCTCGAACCTCCAAGGTTCAGCTCAATTCACGTTTTTTTTTGCCTTGCATTAAACGAAAAGCTCCATAATTCCAAATCATTTCCAAAAAGCTTGCATATCCCTTGCAACGCCCCTCCAATCCGAGGCGGAGCTCTGTGCAAAATGTTTTGTCAGCATAATAGACCCAAACGGCACTCGGAGCGATGACGGAGACCCCCGCGTGGTCATGCACGAGAAGATTCCGAGACTCGTCCATGTCCGGGCCCGGGGATTGGATTGGATTCCATAGCGATTGTGTCATTTTGCTAGACTTATTCATCAGCCACCGACTCCCGAGGAGCCCACTAGAGACTACTAATCAATCAATCTATTCTTGCCCATTGTCTTTGAGATATATATAAGGGAACCCTCTTCGGAATACCAAGTGACCTACTCCACTTCTATCGCATTCAAAAAAGCTCAAACTCCATCACTACCCCTCCAAACTACAAACTCTCCCCCCCACCAAAACCCCTCACCAACAAACCAACAACCACAACAAAACCAAATCGCCCATCATGTCCGTCATCGAGCTCAAGAGCAAGGCCGAGTTCAACGAACTCATCAACAAGACCCCCTACGTCGCCATCCAGGCCCACGCCACCTGGTGCGGTCCTTGCAAGGCCATCTCCCCCTTCTACAACAAGCACGCCGACGCCCTCGCCATCCCCGACAAGTACGCTTTCGCCAAGTTTGACACCGACGACGTCCCCGACCTCGCCTTTGAGCTTGGTGTCCGATCCATCCCCGCCTTCTACTTCTTCAAGAACGGTGACAAGGACGAGAGCCTGGTCGGCCCTATCCCTCCCAAGCTGAAGACCCTCGTCGAGGGCTACGCTGCCGAGGCCAAGGGTGAGGCTGGCGAGAAGCCCGCCGAGGAGAAGCCCGCCGAGGAGGCCACCCTCAAGACCGACGAGAACTTCTAAGTGCTGTCAGCATCCATCGATGGACTTGGTGTCGGAGTAGCAAAAGGCGTCGAGGCGACGTCGCAAGGATACCCGCCTGCACGTCACGGGCAGAATAAATAATCAGGAGCAACTTGGCCATTACTGGTGCCGAGTGCTGAAGGAACATGACTGGGCTTGATAGAATATCGGCCAGTTCAATCTAAGGAAGAGCGTATACAGGAATAAAACAATTTCAAGTTCAAATAAGCTTTTGTACATCGTGAAACGTGGTGTCACACACATACTGCATACTATGTATTACAGACATTTCTACTTTTGTTGTTGCGGTTGTTGACGAAAACACTTCCCTTCGAAGAGCAAATGAGAACGACTATTAGAGAGGGAGTCAACTCAGGGCATTGGGCAGTCACCTCATACACCAATCGAGACAAAATTCTGGTCATCAATATTCATTCAATAAATCAAGAAAAGATTCGCTTGTGGCTACTTGTAAACCGTATAATCCAAGAGTGGTGCCGTGTCCCTTTGTGCTGTGTTCCTCCTCCAAATCTCATCTTCGACCCCTCTTCTATAAACCCCCTTTCTGGTACCCCTTTTTTGAACTGCCCCAATCCCGCCTGTGCAATACCCTCCCTAGACACCAAGACCTAGTCTGCTACTCGTACATGGGTCCACCCATCAGACGCCTATCCCAAATGGTATCTTGTCCTGGGTCGCAAGACAGGAGGGCAAGAAAAGAATCGAATAAAAGAGACAAGGAAATCAACGCTAACTCCTCCAAGATGCTGCTGAAAAGGAATGACTCCTGTATGCCGTGCTGAATCACCTGCTGCTCGGCCGTCTATATCAAGGTTCACGTGTTCGTCGTTTGTTGGCGTCCTCACTTCAGTATGACGGCTTGGCGACGGAATCTGCGGACTCGTCACTAATACGGCCGACACCCGAGTCCACCCGTTTCTTACTCGGTGTCAGGTAGTCTCGAGATTCCACTCGGTCGTCAAGCCCTCTCTTGAAGTCACCATTCGATGAGAGCCTCGACGTCAACATGGGCCCAGCCGACTTGCGCCGGTTAGCCACGTTCTCGGCTCGAAGTTGTCGGAAATCGCTGATGCCCAGACTCATCCGGGGAGTTGACCTATCCCCTCTGACACTCAGAAACTCGCTTCCTGAGCGAGTATGTCCTTGAGTCTGAGTACCGTTAGGACTCGATGGTGAGCTGAACCCTGTCGAATATCGTAGTCCTCCACGGCCTCCTCTCCATCGGTTCCAAAAGCCACCTTCGCCCTTGTCATCCTTGTCTGGGTCAGACGCGGGAATCAAGCTGAAGCTAGGTGTTGGTGGACTCGCGATTGTGTTCCTATTCCGATCTCGAGTCTGATCCCGAGTCTGATCCCTCGAGGCTCTGATTGTGGTGCGGTTCGACACAGTACTACCTGTCGGGCTCGCGGGGTTCTGGATTCGACTAACTGGGCTCGTAGGAATCTGGCTGCGGGCCATTGGGCTTGATGGGTTTTGGCTACGAGCGACTGGGCTCGACATATAAGGCTGCCTCCTCGCTTCTGATGCTAGATTGGCTGCTGAAGTGTTGAGCGGTGATTTACTCGGCTTGTTGGGTGACATCGATCGCTCGCTTCGCGTCGGTGTGGCATTCCAGTTATTTCTGCTGCCGTCAATATCCTGCCGCCAGTTGTTGATCATATCAGTAGCGTGCTGGAGTTGGACCGGGTTGGGTCCAGCAAGGTTGAGTGAACCGCGCCTTGAGTGAACACGACTGCTGGCGGTAGTCCTCGACATGATACTACTACTCCTGCCGACACCTGAGAGACGGTTGGAGAGCTTGGAACCTGTCTCCCATAGTCCTTGTTGTCGCTTGTGGTAAGCGCAGTCCTGTCGAAACACCTTGATCTTCCCCGTCCTATCAGTGGTGACGATGATATTCCCATCAAGGTGTCTCGAACGCTCAATGTACGCGGGGCTCTCCTCGGGTCGCTTGGTACTGGAAAGCGAGTCACCCTGGTCTTCCTCGGACAAGCCGGACTGGCTGTGTGTGCTCTCTTCAAGGCTTCGCAGAGTCACCGGTGGCGGGTTGCACAGATCGTAAACAGGATCTCCCGAGGCGCTCAGGAGTTGTCGGCTCTTCATCGGGGCTATCAAAGCGACAGTGACAACCTCTGGATGAGCGTCGAAAGACTCATAGGGCTGCTTGTCCCTGATTTCACCATCTTGAGAGAGCTTCCAGATGTACGCCCTACGATCCTCACTGCCGCTGATGACATACCTGGCATCGTCGCTGAACCGTGCGTGGATCTGGCTTGACTGACACTCAAAGCCCTTGTATTTAACTTGTATGACCTTGTCGTTGAGGTGGTAGACTCGGATCCGCGAATCGTTGGAAGTGATGAGGACCTTGACTCTTCCAGCTTCAGGGCCATCTAGTATGGTTATCGTCCGGATGCCGGTAATCTTGCTGCCCTTCGCATTCCTGCCACGTGAGGATCGCACATGGATCTGATTTTGAAGCTTGAGGCCTTCGGTGGCATAAAAAGTGCACAAGCCGCTCAGGACACCACAGATAGCAGTCTTGCCATCTGGGGTAAACGCGACTGCTGTAATGAACTCCCCAGCCGCAGCCTGGAACGCAACGTTCTTATCAGGGATACTCCAGAGCCGTAGCTGCGCGTCCATGGATCCAGCCAGGAAAAAGCGGTCGTCTGTGGGGTGAAAGGCTATCGATGTGACAACATCCTTGTGAACGAATGTGCACAGACAGTCACTTCTGCTCATATGCCACAGCTTTACCACCTTGTCCATAGACGACGAAAGCAAAAAGTTGTTCTTGCTCCAGCTGAGGGCAAGAACCTCTCCCTTGTGCCCCCGGAACTCCCGGATAGGCTTTGTCCGGAAGACGGGAGCGCTCAGTTTCTCGCCAGCGGTGCCATCGAGTGCCTCCTCTTCCTCGTGAGCCTTCCGCTCCTCTGGAGTAGAGATGACTGCAAAGACACGGACGATTTGGTCCTTTCCTGCGACAGCCAGGTATCGCCCGTCCAAGCTCCACTCGGCAGCCCAGATAGCATCACCTCCTTTGAGAATCTTGCTTCCAACTGCTGTCGTTATACGGCCATGCGGCTCTCCGGGTTTGCGGCTCGTGGCGCTAAGCTCTTGGGCAAGGAACAGATGGTTGAATTCCTTGTCCTTCTTGTTGTGCGCTTTGACGCGGATGTAACGAGGGGGTTCCTTGTAGAGGGGGATATATCCTCCACCAGCGCCGATGACAGATGTGAGGGCTCTGGCGTATGTGCCATCGGTTCGCAGTTCACCCACGTCCGAATCGGAGTCCTGCAGGCCGTCGTCCTTCCTCCAGCTTCCGCGCATTCCCAGTCGACTAAGGAAAGATGGTCCTTTCCTATTAAACCATGAGCTTGACACACGACATTCAACCTGTAAGTATATGCGCACCGTCGATCTCTGCTAGAATCCTGAAGGTTGCCCTGCGACTGACTAAGTTCGGAGTCTTGTCTCTGGATATTGTCCGCTGAAGTATTATCAGACCGGCCTGGGTTTCGAAGTCGTTGGGCAATGGAAGGTTCGGCGGGGGTGCTGTTAGTTCTCTCGTATATTTGCTGTGTAAGTGTATTAGCTGTGAGCTCTCTCTAGCCCAACTGACAAAACCGAGGCTACCAACCTTGCTCAAAGGATCAAGACCAGCGTTGGATGTGGGATTCGGGGTAGCCGACTTGACCGATGCTTTGGCGTCCTTGGTTCCTTTTGCATTCTGAAGAGAGCTTGATAGAGATGATTGTGTTGTCGAGATCCTGCTCGAGCGGGTTTCTTGGGACGTGACAATGGCACCTAAGGTCGGGCTGTCAGCTTACATGACAACACAGAGGTCTAGTAGACTAGATCGCGTGCAATGAGATTTGAGGCGCCCAAGGCCTGTCATGACCCAGCTCCCGGGTCCAGATGGACGAATGGCAAGGCATTGCAGGCACAACCCAGCAGCGGGGCGAAGAGGAATTCCAACGATGCATATAGAGAGGGACGGAGAGAGGTCGGGATGGTTACATACCTTGGGAGTCAGAAAGGGCGGCAAGGCTCTGACGACGAGTCTGAGGTGCTGATTCGGATGTATTGGATATGGCATGCGAGTTGCGCCTGGAGATCAATTCGCCATCACCCCTCACAGCAGGGGAAGACTTTGAGGTAGCCATCTCCCATGCTGTGTGGGCAGTCAGGTCCTAAAGAATCTGTCTGAACGAGATGCATCGGGGTGCGCGGGCGGTCGGCCTCGCGCAACTTGTGGAAGTCCCCAGACCCGAACGAAGCGAGAGATGGTGGACTTGGCTGGCGGACTCGCGGACTCGTGGGGGGGCGTGAGATGGAGGGAGGTGGGCGTGGCGGGGACCGGGGGTAGCGAGTTCTGTGGATTCAATCCGAAGGGTCCGAGAGTAAAGAGCGAGATGAGGCTGGGCGGACAGCTTGCTGGATCAAGGTACCTGCGGGCTAAGACCGGCAGCTAGTTGGTGGGCTGGGCTGGCTGGTAACCAGGTAAGACGGTGTGGGCGTCACCTTGTGGGCGTTGCTGTGAGTCCCTCAGTGGATGTCCGTCCACTGTGCCTAGGTCCGTAGGCCTAGGACCAAAGTGCGAAGTAAGGGTGTTAGTTGGTCCGGGGGTTCCAGAGCTTTGTTTCTGGGCGTGTCAGACGGGTGGGTTTGACGAGGGAGTCGAGGGGCTAGCGACAGAAGAAACGATGGATGGCTTACAGGAGTGCGGCTGAAGCAAGGAGTCTTGGATCTTGTGTTAAAAAGGACGGCTAGCCAATGCGACTCGCATTCGCCGTTTAGGTGATGTTTAAGTAAACGAGAGCGAGTGAGGGTGCGAGCGAAGACGACGGGACCAGCTCGGGACAACAACCATGCGCTCTCGCTGCACCTCACTTCACACTTCACACTTCACAGCGCTGCAGCGTGGCCCTGGCGACCGGTGGGTTCCTGTCTGCGCTGAAAGCTGCCTGCTGAGATGAGTGGCGGTGGGTGGGCCTGGACGAGGGATGGAACCGTAATAGAGTCTAGTGGACGGAGCGCTGCGTAGAAGATGCTGGCGTCGGGACGGGTCTTTCTTTTTTTGGCGCGCGCGCGTGTGAAAAGGGTCGACTTGAGGAAAAAGGGGAGAGAAAAAAGGAGATAGATACCGTGATGCGATGTGTTGTCAGAGAAGAGATGAAGAGGGGGTGTTGTGAGGGAGCCAGTGAGCACCACCAGACTGAGGCGTCGGGCACGAGGATGATGAAGATGATGGAGAATGGTCAAAAGAGGGCTGATATGAGTGGACGACGACCGACAATGGTGGGTGCAGCTGATCTGATGGATGCCGTCAGCAACTCGATACGCGGGCATGCGAGAGTACAGGTACAAGAGTCGCAGCGAGGCTCAATGCTCAATGCCTTGCCATGTGCTAGAGACTCTTGACTGGAGACTGTGAGGATGGAGGGTAGGATTCACCACACCCTTCCCGGAAGTCGGCGGGGGTTTGGGGATCAGGGAAGGGAAAAAGCTGGGCATCCAGAGCGTGATGGATGCCGAATGAGGTAAGACGAGACCACACCAGAGTGAAGATCCGGCAAAGGAGAATGACATACCCGCTATTTCAAGGTACGGAAACGGTAGCAGCCCGTAGGGCAGATTCGAGATGTAGGGCTTGATCAAGCTAGACACCAAGCGTCCATATGGCTAGCTCTTTGAGTTCTGACTGAGCTATTGCATCTTGTGCAAGGTTATTGGAAGCTTTGTGCTGGCTGTGCTGTCTAGTCTCAGGGTGTGTTTGTGCTGTGCTCAGAAATAACTCCCAGTGTCATTGTTGGAGGCAAGCTGAAAGATCGACGACACAGCACGGCTGTCATCTATCAAAAAAAGTCAACGTTGCCCAGTCGGCCAGCCACGTCCAATGCGAACCGTTCGTTTCCGTGGCTCACCGCACTCTGGTCCATGGCCTGACTAGGTAGGTAGTGGTCCCCCCCAAAACATGGCACACTTCGTAAGTACCTACTTTGCCTTTTAATCCGCTGAATCACCGCATAAAAGGCTTATGATTATAAATCTAAGAACTTATAGAAACTTTAGAATATATTTTATTTATTTTATATTTTTATTTATTTATTTTAGTCTAAGTTACGTCTCTACAGCCTAGCAAAGGTCTCATTGCTGACTAACAGTGTACTATTTTTTTCTTGGTCTGGGTGCCCGACAAATAAGGCTTGGCGTGAACGCCGCTCTGGTGCGTCAAGGTTCATGTGGGAAATAAGGCGATGACATCTAGACCGCAAGTGCCAGCGCAGTTGCAATTGGAGGATCGTAAAACGGTGAATGCTGTCTCTTCAAGACATCCTGGCAACCGTTTGAGACATTGATAAAGTGTCTCGGTTGTTCAAGTCAACAATTCAACAGCATCAGGACAAAAGCCAAAGCCGTACAACCTCAAAGTTTGTTGATGTGAATGGATCGTGACACTGGCACTCCTCGACACCCCCAGCCTGCCAGTACTAAAAGCGGCACCAGGTTCAGGTACCCTCTCCACTGGAAGCCCGTCAATGGAAGGGTTACCGAATTCTTGGGGATGCATACGAGGCCGGGATGGCACCGATGGCAATGCGCGTGTCCATCCGCGTATTGAGTCCGAAATTCTCTTGGTGGAGACACATGTCGGTCTAGCCCGTATAACTAGTCCAAGACGTAGGCTACCATTCTGTATCAATCAATGAGGGGAAGGACGAAGGAATGGTGAGGGGATATTCCAGCCATCCTTGGACCACTCTGTGTGAGACAGATGCGCGACAGAGGGCATCACTAACAAGGCGACACAGAACTCACTAGCTTGGCTTGCGTATTCGATTCGCAAACGGACTAGGATCCGTATCCTCCCGCTTCCCTTCTAGGAAAAACCATCGCCGGTGCCTTGCGCTATCAAGATGGACTACGTCAGGACTTTCGTCGGCGCGGACGTATGTGCTCCGTAGAATCGCTGCAACACTGCACCGATCCTCCGCACAGAGCACACTGCACCGATCCATCGTCCGTAGGCAACGGAGAAAGCAAGGGGTGTGGTCTGGGCCTCAGGATCACCAACAAGCAAGACCGCATCGCAGCGCATCGCATCGCATCAAGCCGACGTCAGCCTCCTCCTGGCACTAACACGGCGACAAGGGCCCCCCCAGGTGACAAATAACAGCGTCGCAGGCGGCTTGAGATGGCATGATGACGTGACCGCCTCGACCTCGACGAGAACATCAGATGATAAGGCTGCACGGCACACGGAGATGAACAAGAGAACGAATGCGAAAACATGCACAAGGCAAATCCCGTCGGCGCTGAGATGCCGGTCTTGCATGGATCGATGTCTTGGCTGACTTGGTTGAAAAAAAGTTGATTCCAGCTAAGGGCCGAAAAACCTCATGGAACAATTCAAAATGCCGAGGCGAACTCAAAATGGCTCGCCTATTGGGCCATTAAAGTTAGGTAAGCGGGTTCCCGGCCACGTGAAAAGTGTCCGTCGGGCTTCAAGAAGGCTTCCATGGATGACAAAACTCCGCCGGCGCCGGGCAACGCCTATGCGGAGAATGGGTCCATGAGCAGAGTCATTCAAGACGATGCACGTTACAAAGCAGATATCAGCTTGCAGAGCAGAAAAAAAAACGAAGAAAAATCCCGCTAACTATAGCTACGGAGCGGGTAAGCTAAGCTGCAGACCATCATCCATCTTGCCCTCCTCCGCATCCGCGGACCACCAAACGGACAGTTGGCGTTGGCCGACCCAGATCCACCTGAGAGAAAGTTAGACTCGGCATGCCCACAAATCTTGAACGTGCATCCTGTTCTCAACTGTTCTACAGCGGAGATAGCTTGTTTACTCGTCCAGTCAAAACTCAGTCCGGCCACGGCTCTTGTTAAAAAGGGACGTTGTTAAAACCCCGCGGGCTTCAGCAAAGTCCGTCCGATCGGCCATTGTCAACTACCGATACCGATTCAACCCTGGTCCTAGACCCCCCAAGGTGTCACATCTCGGAACCCAAATCGAACCCTCGTCAACCCTGTTGCGGTGTCGTGCCTGGCTGAACGCCATACGGAAAGCAGCTGGTCATACTAACACATACCGTACCCAGCTTCAAACCGCATCCAGCTGTTGCTGTGCCTCCTTCAGCCAGCCAGCCTCGTCTTGGCCACGCAGTTCAACGGGTACACCCCACGCCGTTGTCAGATCCCTATTGAGAGATCCACGGGTTTTCCAGAGGTGGGCAAAAAACACACAACGACCACCTGCGTGTGCGGCTCTGTCCCAGACACGGGCCAACTCCTGTTCCTGTCTGACTTCTCGCTCTTCACAAGCCCACCGAGGTCCGAGGTCTGGGACCCAGTCAGCGGATTCCAAAGCAGCCACAAGAATAGCATCCATACCATCCCATCAAGATGAAGCTAGTCTCGCGCAAGGTCCCCAAGAATCTCGAGGAGGAGACCGTGTCTCTCCTCCCCGAGGATCCCGAAGATATGGTCAGCCGCCCCATTCCTCAAAGTCTGTTCCCCTTGTCTCCCCCCATCAGCATCCCTCGTGTCCCTTTCAATCTGCAAGCCCTGTCCTATCACCCCCTGGTTTCCCATCTCCCGTTTCCCGTTTCCCGTCTACCGATCGTCGACGACCCTTGTTGTATCTCTCTACCGTTACCCCTCCCCCTCTTTCACTATCACACCCTCACATTGGCATCAACTCATGATGCTAGTTTATGCCCGCTATGAACCTGATTCCTGCCCTGTATTCTCCCTACCACATGCCTCTAGTTTCAAGCCACTTCCCCTTCAAACACTGACCGCTCCCGCTCCCGTCCCGACGCCGTTCCGGCGCCTCATTCCACCTGGACAAGACATTACTAACATCCTTATCAGTGGCACGCATACAACCTCATCCTCCCTGGAGATATCATCCACGCTCACGCCATTCGGAAGGTCGTCACTACTTCCAACACGGGAAGCACGGCGTCTGAGCGCGTCCACACCGAGTTGGCCATCAAAGTCAAGTCCACGTTCTTTGATCCCGTCATCTCATCGCTCCGAGTCTCTGGCACTGTCACCGCCGAGAACCCCCATGTCACTCTGGGCTCCCATCACACGCTTGACCTTGAGGTTAACCGCCCCTTCACCATCATCAAGCCAGATGGCTGGGACTCGATCGCCAAAGCCACCCTCCAGGAGACCCTGTCGGATGACAAGGACGGCGCCGTAGCAGCCGTCGTCATGCAGGAAGGACTTGCCAACATCTGCCTCATCACCCAGTTCCGGACCGTCCTCAAGGTCCGTGTTGAGAGCGTGATCCCCAAGAAGCGTGATTTGGCGTCGGATCAGGATGCAGGTATGCGTCGCTTCTATGAGAAGACGCTGTCCACACTCCTGCGCACCATGGACTTTACGCAGTCTCGACCTCTGCTGCTGGCTAGTCCAGGCTTTGTGGCTGGTGACTTTAAGCAGTACATCGCCAACCAGGGACGAGACAAGGCCGACAAGGTCCTCACCGCCGTGGCCAAGCAGGCTACCGTGGTTCACGCCAACTCGGGTCATGTCCACAGTCTCAATGAGGTGCTCAAAAGCCCCGAGGTCCTAGCCAAGATGAAGGACATGAAATTTGCTCGTGAAACTCAGTACGTGGACCAATTCTTTGATATGCTCAAGCTGGATGACGGCCGCGCCTGGTACGGCACCTCGGCTGTCCAGAAAGCCGTCGACGATGGCGCAGTTGGACCAGGCGGTGGTGTCCTGTTGGTCAACAACTCGCTGTTCCGCAGTGAAGACCTCGCCACTCGCAAGAAGTATGTTGCTATGGTTGAGAAAGTCCGGAGTGACGGCGGCGAGGCAAGAATCCTGAGCAGTGACCATGAGAGCGGACAACGCTTGACCATGCTTGGTGATATCGCCGCTATTCTGAACTATCCGATGCTTGATCTTGACGACGACGACGATGCTGATGAACATGACGACGCTGAACCCGACAAGGAAAATAAACAAGAGATGCTAGATAGTGTCATATAGTTTAGTATTCAACTAATGATGTTACGTGTGTCCTCCGGTGCCAGACTATGTCAGTGCTATTACGGATTAATCATCATTCGGTGTTAAGCTTATCTCCTGGATCTTGACTCAAGAACTATAGTATTAATTGGCAGCTTCATGATGTTGAATACTCGTATTTTGTTGTTGGAACTTTTAGGAACTTTTCTTTGAACACTCATTGGTGATCTCATGCAGGCTCCCGCGTAATTATCTCCACCTCCTCACGTTAACTCCATCTTAACAACGTCAACTCGTCACCAAAAACACTATTTAAAGAGTGCAACTGCCCAGAGTCTAACATTGAAGCTCATAGCAATCCAAGTCGTGTATTAGTCTCTGCAACTCCCTCACCCGCAAAGTGTATGACCTCACTGTCTCAACCCCTCATTCCAGCGGCAAATACTGAGGATAGCTAGGAACCCCTCATGAGCCGCAAGATGGCATCGAAACTCGCCCTCAACTCTACTCGAAAGCTCAATTCGGGCTATGAGATTCCTCTTCTTGGATTTGGAGTATGCTGCACTGTTTCCTTTCTTTGGCCGCATGCTAACTCTGATGTTTAGGTCTATCAGACGTGAGCCTACCCTTGAGGGCTATATGCCATGGTTTCTAACTTGTCCAGTCCACTCGAACAAGCCACCGATGTCTGCAAGAGGGCTCTGGAAATAGGCTACCGCCATGTAAGTGTCCCATGGACCTTAAGCTATATATGTAGCTAAGTCTTCAAGATCGATTCCGCCTCTGCGTATCGTAACCAAGGCGAGAGCGCAGCGTCCATCTCTGCTTCTGGCATCCCTCGCTCGGAGGTCTTTTTCACTACAAAGATTCCCATGCGCAAGCTTCCTCTCGGCTATGAAAATGCCCACACACTGGTGAACACTGCGCTTGAGGAGACCAAGCTGGACTACCTTGACCTTGTTCTCATCCATGCACCCTACGGAGGACCTGACGCCCGCAAGGGTGCGTGGAAGGCCCTTGTCGAGTGTGTCGAGGCTGGAAAAGTGCGCTCCCTTGGCATCTCCAACTATGGTGTCCATCATCTAGACGAGCTCGAGGCATACATCAAAGAGCTGGAAGCGGAGCGGGGAGAGGGCAAGGGAGGCGTCATCTCAGTGGGTCAATGGGAACTTCATCCTTGGCTTACTAGGCCCGACATCGTCAAGTGGTGCCAAGACCGTAACATCGCTATTGAGGCGTACTGCCCTATTGTGCGAGGTGAACGCTTTGGCGAGCCCAAGATCAAGGCCCTCGCGGAGAAGTATGGCAAGACGGAGGCGCAGATCCTGCTCCGCTGGAGTCTACAGAGGGGCCTCGTTCCTCTGGTGAAGAGTGTTACGCCTTCGAGGATCCTGGAGAATACGCAGCTGTTTGACTTTGAGCTTACGGCGGAGGAAGTGGAGGATGTTGCAACGACCGATTACAGTCCTTGTGCTTGGGATCCGACTGTTGAGACTCTGGACAAGTAGGAGTTCTCAGATGTCATTGTGAACAGATTAAAGAAGTTCAGTGAAGTTTCAACACATATTTGATGATATTGAACATCTTTTCCGCTTCCTCCCTTCTTGATACTGGGGTAATAATGGCTAAAAGGGAAGCCCGTGCATTTGTTGTCTTGTTGATGGAGCCACGTGACCACGTTTCCACTTCGCGTCAACACCACCATCTTATCCCCCACTATCTATCGCGCTTCCTACCACCTCACGCCCACCACCCTCTATGCTCCGCCATTGCCTACCGAATCCCTAGATCAGATGTCTTTCAAACGTAAAAGATGGGTCAACGAACCTTTACCCTCATACCCAAGTTCCCGGGCCGAGAAGAATCCCCGGACACGCCACCTCTTCGACCTATGACCTCCAAACAAGTACGGAAGGCGTACAAATCGGCAAACAAGGGACCAAAACTCACTCGGGCCGAGATTTGGAAACAGGAGAAGGCGGAACAAGAGCGAATAAGGAAGGAGTTTGAGAAAGAAAAAGCGGCAGCAAAGGCGAAGATCCTCAGGGAGAAAAAGAAAGAGAAAGAGTTGGCGGAGAAGGCTGAGAAGCGCAAGAAAGGATTGCCGCTTGTGAATGTGCGGCCAAGCCAGGAGACGATTTCTTGGTTTGTTAGAGGGAATGGAAGCGCTAAGAAGAGGGATGCCAAAGGAAAGGATGTGAGGAACGACACGATCGAGGAAGAAGCGGAACCCCCAGAGACGACAATTGCAGACACGATCGACGAGGAACCGCAGCAACCTGCGAAGAGAGTGCGGACATTGGAGAGCATACAAGAGGATGAACAAGATACCCCAGATGTTGGAGCTGAAGCCATGACCGACGATGAAATGCGACGACCTTCTTCAAGCCCAAGGCGTGAAGACATGCAAGAAGTTGAAGAGGAATTGATGGAGGATAGAGGAGGAGCTTTGATCGCAAACAATTCACAACACCTTTTGGAAAACCCACCAAGAGCAGATGATATGTTGGATATGGACGATGAACTTGACGCGGATTTTGAGGAAGACTTGGCGTTGGAGCTGCTCGAGGACCTCGAAGCCGCGGCTGAGAAGGGATGTGATCAGAACTCCCCGGACAAAGACGAGACGACGCACGAATCTGCGCCAGGGATGAAAGTTGCGACCTCGGATCAAGATGCTAGTGCTGGAATACCCCTCGCGAATCGCTACGAAGAGGACCTCGGCCTCCACCGACCGAACCCCCCTTCAGTCAACTTCATCAAACCGGCCCTCCCCAATCGACTAGAGCGACCACCAGCATCACCCTCTCCATCACCTCCACGTCAAGCGCCCCCTATGAGTACGCAAGCGATCCTCTTTAACTTTGATGATTTCTTTCCATCATCTTCTCAACAAGCAAGGGAGCTCGAGGAAGATGATGACATTATACCCTCGGCACCGCCCCCTCTTTCGGCCATTGTTGAAGAAGAGGAAGAGGCTCTCGACGAAGAGCCTGAGAAACCCGCAGACCCTGACCCCTTACCATCTCTTGGACCACTCTCAGACTCACCCTCACCTCCGCTAAGACGATTCTTTACCTCTTCTGGATCGCACGAGCAAATGTCTTTGGCCTTGCATCGTAGCCGACGTACAGAAGCATTGGAGAAGATTCAGCAGCGCGAACGGGCGCGTGTTCAGGCTGGCATGGTAGCACGTGCTGAAGCTGAGAGCTCCAAGACCACCAGACCACCACAGTCGGCAAAGACTGTACCAAAGCCACAAAAGACATTTGAGAAGAACGCTGGAGGCTACAAACCGAGACCTCCTCAGATCCAAGCGCCTCCATTGCAGGAGAAGAAGAATCCTCCACATTACACAACAAACGAAAGGCACAACACGCCCATGACGACCAGACGTTTTGACCAACCCCCGAAAGAAGTGCAACGCGCTGAACCAACAAAGTCACCCACACTAAAGAACAACAAAGAGAACCAGAAACCACCACCCCAGCCGAGTTTTGGACCGAGTGCTTCGCAGGAGTCGTACGGCGGTGATTGGGTGGATGAGATTGCACTCGAACTGATGATATGATGATGAGACGGGTCTTTGTTGCCCACCAAACGATAAACGAGGGGAACAATTGTGACATGATATGCTATAAGATGGCATTGGAGAGATTAGGAGTTCGGGGATCAACATGGACGGCATACAGGAAGCATTGATTAGAGTCATTGGCATATCCCACTCGACGTGGGCAACGGGCGGTAACACCTGATTGTAGACCCCTTTACATAGCGACGGCGTTTGTTTGTATTACAATATTACTCTGTTTACCTGAGTTACCTGTACTCCATTATCCCTTGTTTTTGCCAGGAGATCGTACCCGCCCAGGTCGTAAAAGCCTGGATATCTTCACCAGAGTCGTTTAGAGATATCTCAACAATTGGTCAGTCGCTGTTGACCTTGATTGAGACAAAAGTATCTCCAATATCTACGATTTGACAGCCCTGAACGCCAATCCATGCCCTTCCCATATGCCCGTCGTCACTCGTGACTTCATTACCAGAGGTCCCCAACTCCAATGCGTGCTGGCGCCGCGCTTGTGCACAGTCTTGTGGTGTTCGTTACAAAAAGATGCCCACCCACTCCGTCTTTGAAGACACTTTGGTCTCGCAGCCTTCCACGGCGCATCTCAGGTCGTTTGCGGCAGTGTATGGGTGCTTCCCTTCAGGAGCACGGAACCCGACGCCGTCACGGTTTGACTTTGTGGGCTTGCGATTCTCGAAGCAGTCGGCGCAGTAAACCTAGAGATGTTAGTTTGATCTCGAAAGAGAGAGTAAATGCCTCGCGTACATGTCCACACTTCTTCAACGCCCAGAAATGGTGCTCTCCCGGTGCTCTTTTCCGCTTGCCCTTGTTGCCTCCAACAGAACTTTGGGTCATGGTACCAGACGGGTCATAAGCCAGCTCTTCACTGCAGGCTGGGCAGATGACGACGCTCTCAGACTCTTTCTCGGGATCGGTGCAGGTGTCGCGGGTGAAGCCCTCTCGCGCGGGGGGGATGGGCTCCATAGCCGGCTTCGGGCTGGGTTCTCGTGGGGCAAAGGCGTTTCGTGAGACGTCCAGTTGAGGCGGGGGGAACATAATATCACGGCTTAAAAGTCCGGCGATCGTCCTAGTCAAGCCGATGGCGAAACTGGCGGGCGGGCGTCTTCCCGACTGCTCTCGCGGCATAGAACTTATCAACTCCAACTCGATCAGCTCGTCAGGTCGTGGGCGCGGTCGCATATTTCGCCCGCCGGGGGGGTTCGAAGGTCGCTCGCCCTCGGGAGAATCCACGGTGAGATCGATAATGCTCGCAGTGCGCCCGAAAAAGGTCCCGTCACTCCTCGAAAGCTGTGGAGGTGATATCCGCTGCGAGTTTGTCCTCCTAGGGTTCCTCCCGCTCCGATTCTGGGGCAACGATCCTCTTGTTTGAACTGGTGAGTCAGGCTCTGCGGTGAGGTCGATGACCGGTGCAGGCTGCTGTGGCTGCTGTCCTTGCGGTTGCGGTCGGCGTTCGCTTCGGCGCGATTGATGATGGTGTACAGGACGAGGCTGAGCCGATGATGATGTGCTTCTCGGGTTTGGGAGGAAGAGATTGGCAAACGAGGCAGGATTTCGGCTCGAGTTGACGTGAACCTCAATAAGGTCCTCTTCACCGAAGAGTTCGAGGATGCTGTCCCTGTGTGCAGCCATGCTGGGCAGATGGCAGAGGGTTGGTTGTACTCGAGAACAATTCAGGCCGTCGCGGCGGCGTTTGTCAATGGTGAAGAGTCAGCGTGACGTATTCACCAGAGCAGAAGCAAGCCAGGCAGAGCAGAGGCGCGTAGGAGGCTTGCAGCGTGAATGAGCCGTGCCTGGCGAGGCAGAGGAGTCGCGTGGCGATACGCTCGAGATGGGGTTATCGAGGCGATGGGCTCTAGCGGGTTAGGGATACAGAGTCGGCGGATTCGGATCGAACGATGGAAATGGCGTAGATGTCTCGAGGGAGAGGTGAAGAGGTAATAGCCGTGGGAGCGAGGCTGGATGTTAATTAAAGGTTGCGGAGAGATATCAAGTTTGATGTTGAAAGGTTCAAAAGTAAACGACGCTTAAATCCGATGGCCTCGATTCGTTTGACCCAAGGCCAAGGCTGCTGCCCATCCATCCATGCCATGCCCGTGACGACAAGTGCCACGGACCCTGTTGGAAGCCTCTACCCCGCTACATGGGCCACTAAAAACAAGTCGCTCTGTGGGATGCCAGGGGTGGTTAGGCGGCAAACAGGGCGACCCCCTAGGGCTGCGTTACAGGGGGTGGGCGCCTACCTAAGCCCATGTGGAAGCCCGCCTTGGCGTCGGATTTGATCCATCATGGCTGGGCGTTGATGGATGGCGTTTGAGGCTCAAGATGCAGCACTAACAGCTACGAAATGTTGTTCAGAAGCAAACCAAACCAAACCCTTGAATTGTCAATTTTCAAACACCATCCTCTGTCTCTTGACCCATTGTTGGAGGCCTATTGTACAGTAATTACCAGGGAATCACGCAGCCGCCTCTTAGTCCACATCTTTATGTCATGTAACCTCCTGAAAGCTCCCTCTATTCCTTCGCTCCAAGTATGCTGACCACACCCTCGCCATTGACTGTCACCAGCTGCTTCGCGGACTCTCCCCATCGGACGGCAACAGCAGCGGTGGAATTCCTCAGGGGTTCGCTCCACTTCTTGCTGGACTTGGTGTATTGGTGAACAGTCACTCCAGAAGAACCACCGGTGGCGAGGAACTGGCCGCTGTAGTCCCAGGCCAGGGACTGGACTGGCCCGCCAGTCTCGAGGACCTTGGCCACCGCGGCGTCTCCCTCCTTTCGCAAATCGAAGATGGTCACCATAGTCTGACCCTTGGCTGTGGCTGCGAACCAGTAACCGTTCTCAGAGAAGGCGATGGCCTGGATGGGGGCACCCAGACTGAAGACTGCAGCTTGCTCCAGAGTGTTGGTCATGAAGAGCTTGATATCGCCAGAAGTTGTGCCAGCGGCGAACAGGTGGCCATCGGGATGGAATGCGCACGAAGTAAGAGCTGAGTCGGTTAGAACACATCAGTTAGAAGGACGAGTGTAGAAACTTACCAGCATCGGTGTAAGCGCGGCTGACACGCTTTTGCGAAGTCAAATCATAAAACACAATGCTCTTGTCTGTGCCGACTGAAGCCAGGATAGTACCACTGGGGTGCAGGCTCAGTGCTGTCGCAGCACCAGCATGCTCGCTCAGCGATGCCACCTGGTTACCCTCCTGGAACACCTTGACGCTTCCCTGACCAGTAGCAAAGGCGACCTTGTCCTCGGCCCATACTGCATCCGTCACGGGCTCCTCCACAGCAATCGAAACCTCGACCTTGTCCTCGTTGGTGGCGTAGACGACGGCCTGGCCCTTCAGACCTCCAATAGCGGCGCTAGCACCTCCGACACTGAGCGCAGTGGCCTCGGGAACTGGAAGAGAATGTGTGGTCGCGTTTTCAAAGGCGGAGATGTCGTCTGCGGTAGCCCAGCCCTCGGGGACAGGGCGCTTCTTGCGACCCTTGGATAGTCTGCACGCAATGTTAGCTCCAATACTTCGAATGCACCGTAGGCAACCACATACGTCTGATGAGTCTTGTCCACCTTGGCAATAAGCTCCTCTGGCAGCTTCTCCACGCTGTCCACCATCATCTCATCACCGTCGGCAGCGGCGCCCGTCACGGTCACCTTGCTCAGCGCATCCCTGGCCTCGTCTCGCTCCCTCGACAGTCGGGCAATAACTCGAACAGCGGCATCGTGCTGGTACAGAGCTGTGGCAAGCTCCTCCCGGGTGCGCGCCAGCTGCTCCTTGAGGTTATATGTCTCTAGCGCGAGCGCGTCCCATTCGTTCTGGAAGGTTGCGAGGAGGGCGGGGATGGAGGTGAGGGTGGGAGGACGCGGTCGGACGATACGCGACGAGTGGATGGGCAGGAGATCTTCCGCGAGGAGCGCTTCGCCAGAGTCGGGCTCGGTTCCGTGCTCATTAATGTACTGCTCGATAAGACGCTTCTCGTAAACAACACCTGTAAAAGGTCAGCGGTTGTCCTGCGCGAACTCGCGAACTTTGATGTTGTTGATGTACGCACCGGATTTCTTGGACACGACGGGCTCCTGAGGAGCTTCTCCTGAAACTATTGCCCATGTCAGCGCACCGCTCTCTCAAGACGCAGAGAAAAAGACCAAGCTTACTTCCACAAAGCATGGCGACTGCTACTTTAAGCTCGTTGAGCCTTCAATTGCTTGTCGTCGGGTAAAGCGCAACTCGTCGACTCCAAGCTCTGGTTGCGACGGACGGTCACCTAGTCGAGATTTTGCCGATGCACTGACCATCAAAGGCGGAAGCTTTCAGTCACGTGATGCGATAAGACAAGCCTGACCTCATCGGCGCTGTCTTATCGCGCCTTATCTCTGCGGCCGTCACCGCTTCAAGGAGTCTCGCATATCTCCGGGGTTGGACTACCTTGTTGGATCGTCCTTGATGTGCATATAAATTACTCCTATCGCCCTGTTTTGGTGTTTAATCTGGAATCTTGAGTCTATCAACCATATAATTCCATCTTCGGTCCATACACCATGTCCCTCCCGCGGCCCCAAGACGTACGTGAAGCAGACGAGACGGAACAAGTCAAGGTCCTGGACCTCCTGTTCGAACCGAGCCCAGCCATCCACTCGAATCTCATCCCTATTTTGAAGAATGCCGAGTATACATCTTACTCAGAACTCATCGACGCATGCAAATCCAAGCTCTTCTCACTCGCCACATCCAGCTCATCAAGCAACCCTGATCCCGCCCTCCTATCTATCCTGGGATCACATCCACGGCTAGGGGCTAAGAAGGTGGACTCGGCACAATCAGCGGCAGAGCAGGCCAATCTTCAAGGTGAAGGCGAGGAATTGGCAAAGCTCAACAACGAGTATGAAGAAAAGTTCCCTGGTCTGCGGTATGTCGTCTTTGTGAATGGTCGAGGGAGGCCTGAGATCATGGAGGATATGCGGACCAGGATTACGAGAGGGGAC